GGTTGCTGAGCATCAGACACTCTAAGTTGCGACCCTTATAGACCCCTGTTCCAGGAACTCTGTGGGCAGTTACTGAAACCCCTTGTTTGACATTGGGCTCATTATTGAAATCCCGAAACCCTAAACGTGTGCCCAAAACCCCAGTTACTGTGTAGGTTACCGGGCCTCTCAGTGTATGGCGAGGTACTACCGTCGCGTCAGTCGCTTTGGCAAGGCGCCGCTTGATGGCATTTTCGAACCTGTGTGAGAGTCTAGGGACGGTTCAAGGCATGGGTTTCTTTAAGCCTCCTTGGAGGTTAGGGTTGGAGGCCCCTCCCACCTGGAGGTGCGCGGAACGTCATCGCGCATCGCCTCGTAGTCTTTCAGGGACCAGTCCTCACGCAAAGAAGAACCGGGTGCTTTCCGACCAATCGTGATCACGCGCGCGGGGCGACAATACTGACTACACAAGGCCTGCAGAGGCTTCGGTTGCATTTGGGTCGAAACGCGGGTCATGTGGGCTTGTTGTACTTGGCAAGGCTCGGATCCCTGCTCTGATCGCCAAGCTTACGACCTAAAAGAGCCTCAACACAGCGATGCAGCAAGACGACCTTTCGAGGACTGGTTACCCACCCTCACCTACTCGTGAAGCCTCTTGATTACTGAAAGAGCACTTGGGAAGTGCTTTTGAGAAACAAGTCCTTTCCAAAACATCGTAAACGACACAAATGGCACCGCACTGGTTGAGAGCATCCACATCAACGATTTGACGGCCACCTTCAGCTGTCGCAACAACAACATCAGTTCCACCAATGTTTGGGCCATATTCAACATGTGTCCAGAAACTGACAACGACGTAAACGACGGCGAAAGTCACGCCTAAGCCCTCTACACACTTGGACTTGTTTAAAGCCAGACCCTGAACCAAAGAAAACACGAAAGTACTGGGAGTTTCCGAAAATAGAGCACGCTAGTATAGTACCCTAAATAGTAGGATCCTTATAGTAAGGACTCTAAAATAAGGTACCCCCATAATTTTTGGAAACTCCCTTCTATGTTCTATGTTTTTCTTTTTTGCAATTTGGCGGAGGGTCCTCCAGGCCGCTCTCTGCAATGGTCTGATCCTGGCAATTTAAGACTAGGCGGGGTTTTGAAAATCGTTGAAAGTACATAAGTGCCCAATAAGGGAAAATATAACATCTCCCAAAGCCTTACCTAGAAGAGTGCTGTGAGTCTTTCAAAACTTTGGCGGGGTTCGGGTTTTTATGGGTTTTCAAGGTTTCGGCTTAGGCTTGAGGGTGAAGGGGTTTCTGGCACCCTAAGGCACATCAACATGTGTAACAGTATTATGTAATTTCACTTTCGACCCGATATGTCTGCAATCAGGATCCACGAAGGAACGCGTGTGCGGACAGGAATCATGTCAAAGAGAATTCAATCAACCCATGACGTCAGATCCCTTACGTAGGCCGAATGGTCGGCTGGAAGGCCACCCCAATTTTTGCCTAGCAGCCTTAGTTACGAAGCCCTAGAACTCAAGAAGAAATGGTTGAAACCTCACACGACAGCCGGGCCAGAATAAGAATTTGAGTGAATGTGGGCGGGCCCTATTGTTGACTTTTCCTAAGTAAACCCTCTGTATACCCCTTAAGGGGTACCCTTGCAAAAGGCAGACTCCTACAATGCTTCCGAGGCCCACGCTATAGTAAAGTTCAGTACGTTACTAGTACAACTGTATTTAGGGGCCTTTGAAGCGGATAGTATGACTAATTTTGTTCGGCCCTACATAAGATCCGAAACCCCCAACAATAACCTTCATGGCCCTGACCATACCGCATCAGGCAGAACTATACAGATATACACATACACAGGGATATACACAACACTTGCCCCAACCCATACCAACCCGCTCCCTTGCTGCGGCCAGGGTTCGAAGATCAAGGGCTGTCGCGCCAGAGCAGCCCCTGGCACAAGCAAGCCGCCGGCCACGCCTTGCTTGTAGTGCTCGTTTAGGGATACATAGGAACGAACAGGGTTTCACGATGTTTGGTTTTGCTTTTTGGCAAACTAAGCAGATTGGGGCTTCGACACGGCTCCCGCTCGAGGCACGAAGGGCTTCACGACAACTGAACCTAGCTGTTGGGTGCAGGTGCCCCTCGTCATTTCTACAGGGTTCAAGGCTTATAAGATCTGAATGATTGGGCTTTTACTTCCTTCATGGGACCTGTCAAGAGCACTAAGGGCCGCGCCCAGCGTCGCAACACGACGGCCTGTGATTCTCTCTCGCGACGGCGGGCTGGATTTTGTTTGCATCTCTCTTGAGCGTTGGACCTTAAAAGTTATGATTACGCTCAAGGGCTCGGGGCTTCGAAGATGCTTGCGAGTTCTATCTCCGTTTATTTCCTTCGCCGGGCCGGAGGCGGCTGGAACCCCGCTGGATCTTGCTTGCTTGCGAAGGGGTTTGCGCACATGCAAGCATGCGCCCTGGCCCAGAGGCCTACCCCCCGTGGTTCGCGTCTGCACCCGCTGGATCTCTCTCTCTCTCTCTCTCTCTCTCTCTCTCTCTCTGCCCTATCGTCTGTTTCTTGCATCTTTTACATCCTGTAGGCTTGGGGCAACCCCAATTTCTCAAATGCGGCAGGGATTTAGCTTGGTGTGGAATGTTGCAGTGCCTATGCATACCTAGAAGACCTAGTGACATACCTATATCGTTCAACTGGGCCCGGGCATGGCTCCAAGGGCCATTCGGCAGCCAGGCAGTGGTGGTACGTGTAGTAATTAGTAGTGGCCGTCATCGTATATGATAGGGCATGTTACTGCAACAATGAGCACTCCAATCGAAGATGATAACTTTCACATTGCTCATGAGTCTGCTCCGGGGCAGCTTCTTGTCGCTGTCACCTGAGCTTGCCATTCTGAACATCCCGGCCTGGGTAAGTATAGGCGGGCGCCGCCGCCTCTTGTGCAAGGGCGCATTTTCTTTGCGTGTTGCGAGCTGAAGGTTTAGGTTTGCGCTTTCAAGCGTAGGGTAAACGTGTTGGGGCTTTACGAGCCGGAGCTGGCCTTATAGTATCCCAGCAAGCTGTGGCCTCCTTTCAAAGTGCAACCTGGTTAGTCCTTAGGGCATCGTGTAAGGCTTCCAGGAATCAGGCTGCTGAGTGTCTGCGGCTTCGACTCGGATTTGTGGCTTCGGAGAAGCTACTAGGACGGTTCGCGGGCTTTACGAATACAAGCCCATCCAAAGCTGCAACCATCGTTAGTTTCAGGCACCCAGAATTCCTTACGCAAAACCGAACAGGAAAGCATAAGGTCCTTCCTGAAGATTCACAGCCTCCTACAATGCACGAGTCGTGACACCTGCACTCACATACGAGCGAAGCACATGACGCGACATTGTGAACATTGTCATCGTCATAGCAGGTCTCGCGATGGTGCAGGAGAAGTTGCACACCAGCGCAAGAAGTGGTACTCACCTAACCTGACCTGGTGACGACAGGTGCAATCGTGCAACTCAACCTCACTGGCATGCAGACCATGTTTGCCTGTACGCGTCACCATCATCACCATCATCCGTATGACCATTGATTTCGCCACCGCTGCGGCCACCGTTACCGCCATCGCCAGCAGCAGCACCACCAGCACCAGTACTGTCACTGCAACAACGCACCAGCACCAGCACCACCAGCACCACCATCACCAACACCGTCATCATCATCATCATCATCATGATCATGAAATCGCCCCTCAACATTTCGGACAACAGGCTTCTCGACTTCTCGCCATCATCCTTCTCGCCTCGCCCTCCCAAGAGAATGCGAATTTTTCAGGAACATAACAGACAATACGAAAGTTCCAAACCCGAACCCTCAACACTGTCAGGCTGCCAGCCATGCCTCAATCCACAAAGCGGCGACACTGAGCAGCGCTAGAAGCTCCGGCGCATGCCGGATGTTCGTACGGCCGCGGCGGAGTGTTGTTCGTGGCATGGCTGGCATAAGTTGATATACGTCACAGATATTGGGGGCATTGAGTCTTGACGGACTGGAGACTCGCTGCATGCTACGATTCAAGTCGCAGGGCTGCAGATGACTAAGAAAGCTTGGGGCTGGAGGCTTGAGGCGTTGGGTTCTGGGCTTCGAGTCCGGGAGCTGTGGGGCGCATGCCATCATGTTGATTCTTTGAAGGACTTCAGCAATTCGATGGCCGGGGTGGGTCGCATTGGGGCTGGGGAGACGGGGTGAAAGGCTGCGCAAAATGCTCCATGAAAGCTCTGCACCGGAAGCATGCCCAAAGTTGCTTTTATCGAGCGTCGAGTAGTTCGGAAGTATCTTTGGTGTCCTTGATCCCTTCCCGCTAACATTCAACCCCCCCCCTAATATAAAAACTCCCGGCCCCCGGAATTTCGCGGTTTCGGGCCCCACATTCAATTTAAAAGGGACAACATTAAGGGGGGTGGCAGATCTGTATGTGTTTTAATTAATATTAGGGGGAAAGGATTAATCTTATCGCCGCGAAGGCGAACTCTGGAGTATTGTCCTTCCCTCGGAGCCTTCTCACACATCAACCCAAATTTTCTGAACAAATCTCCACGCTGTCCTGTGTCCAGGTGAAATCCCTAGGCCTGAGCAGCCCACCGACACAAGCCAGAAACAACATATAAACGTGAACCTGGGAGGTCAAAAGAAAATCCTTCTGGTGAGTCTCGTAATCTTTGTGGTTTGGGCTGTGAATGGGGGGGGTGTCCCTTAAGCTGCAATCCCCGACGCCGCAAATCCTGATTGCATCCTAACATGCCACGCCCACACCATATAATTACTCTCTACGTCCATTTACCCTGATGCGTAAACTCCGCAAGCCCATGTGCTAAGGCCAACGAACATGAAAGGGACAGTAAGCAACAGTAAAGCTTGTCATCGAAATTAAAAAAGGCCCCTAGCGTACCCATGTGTTTGTAGTGTGATGTACAAGACCGAACTATCCTAAACCCTACAGAAAAGTACCTATGCACCCGGTTGCAAGGCCTCGCCGTAGCCTCCCAGAACTGATCCTCCGAGACGCAGAACAGCACCAGCCTGGTGCTATTCATGGCACTTGAAATGGGCTCAGGGTTTAAGAGGGTTTAAGGGTTTCGATTTGAGGTGTTGATAGCTTTAAAGCTGGTTTTGAATGCAGTCATCTTTCCCTCTAGGTTTTGGGTAAGGATTCCACATTTTTGTGGAAGTTGCGGCGATCCTTTTCTAGGTTTCGGGTCTGCAGTTGCACCTGATGATGTTGGAAACTTAAATGACTATGTCTATGGGTCTAGGGGCTGGGGTCAGGGTCAGAGATTAACTATATAGATCCAAAAGACGTCTTGATTGCAAATGGTTTCTTGAAGGTCTTGGTTCTGGTGCCAGCTTTTAGAGAACGAGCGCAAAAGCTCAAGGCAATTTAGTGTCAGTGGTGCAAACTCTCATGACTCATGACAACTACACTGGCAGCACAACGCATACATACTGAGGGCAACATGCATCTAAGTGGGTAGAAGCAAGCATCGCCGCAGACCGAAGCGTGAGGTTACAAGGAAGCAGGCGCGTCGTCAAACACATGCATGGACGTACAATCACAACAATGAAGGCCCAACCCTACATCCAGAACTCCAAAGTCCTCCGATGTTCTGAAGCACCAGACCCAACCAAAGCTGAGTAGAGGACACCAAGTATGCGACCAGGACCAGGGCAGATTCTCCTGAAAAGCTTTACATGTCACGTGTAACATTCACAAATCTTGAAGCGGTGCCAACATCTAGTAGAAGTGTTTTTTCGCCCCCCGAGCCCCAACAACTTGATGTTGTCGAACTTCGGAGTTCCTGCGATGTTCCTTCAGGGTTTAGGGATGAAGAAGACGAGTCGGACGGCCGAGCTGAAGACGCAAGCGGCTTAGGGTTCAGGGCTTTACGCTCTCGCAACTCGGACATGCCTGACGAGGTCACTGGCGAAGTACTTTTGACTGGTCGGCTGAAGGTAGGGTTTGGGGTTGGGTGTCTGAGAGTTCAGGGTTCAGGATCTTTGAAGAAAGCCCAACTTCGACACATTGGCCTTGAACTATGCAGTGGCACTGTTTTCAGGGGCTCCGTGCATGCATACACACACGCAATGAACTTATACATGGTTGTGCGCTGTGCGTTATCGCCCCGCCCCCCCGGGGGGCCCGCCGGGGCGCAACCATACATACACATGTGTCGTTTCAGTGTGAAGCCGCGCAGCCTCTGTCTGAGTGCTCAGCTGTCTCAAGTATTTATTCGTTCAAAACTTTGTCGAGCCTGCCAATCTTTTTCCGGTTACATGTCCGCAGTACGTCAATGGCACAAACAGCGTCAAACAAACGTCTGGAACCGCAACAACTTGCGCAATGTATACATTGACGTTGAGACAGCGCTCAGATGAACTGAGGATCTAAAGCTACTACATATTTCCAGCTTGATGGGTTCCTACTCCTCGTTTATGGAGCTTAGGGTTGCTGCAGACCAAGTCAAGACTGTGGGGTTGTTAAAAGTCAAGTAAGGGGATCTGGAGTTTGGCGGTTCTTGCGAATGGTTCAGATTCAGGAATAGGGGCATTGCTTTCCTGCACACCTCCGTTGTTTGAGGGATCATGCCGACTGCGGGGCTGTAGCGTTTTGGGTCGTATCGTGGAACGTTTATCCTCGGCCTCGGGGTTTACAGTTGCATATGAGTTTTCAGCTGAATCTTTCGACTCGGACAGCACTCCCGTAGACAGAAAACTGATACCCAAACTGCTTATGTCTAGGTGACAAAGTCAAAGCCTTGGAGACTCGTGCTTAGACCTTTCAGATCAGTAACACAGTGTTCAAAGGCGCGCCCAGTGCAACATGCGACGTGCAAGCAAAACATAGATGAGCATGAGCTCGTCAATCATGGTTGCCTGTGCTTCGAGACTGGGCGCGCGAACCTACTGTAAATCCCAGAACAATCAACTCCACGAGTGCTGGGAGCCCAGACTTGACACAACCGTGACAAGCGACTTTAAATGCCACTTCTGAGCGTTTGGACGCCTTGAGACCCGACTCGTCCATAGCAAGGGTCCCCTAAGCCTCTAAGCACCGCGCTTTATCTCGTCGGCAGGGGCAGCCACAAGGATCTTCCTTGTGGAGAATCTAAAGGATTGAAGTTGAAGGAAGCTCTTGGTCTCAAGCCCAACCCGACGAAAGGTTCTCGGAGGGCTGAGTGTTCGGACTTACGGCTTAGGGTTTCCACTCTCGGTTTGGCACAAGGACAGGTCCACAGTAACTGCGAAACACTTGAATACCCTCCCGTAGCGGTAACCCACACACACACACATCACTGTCATCCAGTCCCCTACGCTGACAATCGCCCTTCCTACAAGCCAAACATTGAACCGTCCAGACCAGGCCAAGCTCCAATTCCAGATCTTTCACATGATCGGGGCTTTCCCGGCCAGAGAAACACATCTGCACTCCACAATCTTTTAGCGATGCTTCGAAGAAGCTGCGTGCTGAATCATTGACATCATGAGCTTCTGTATGGCTCGTGGTGAAAGCATGAAACATGCCCAGCATGGAGGCTGGGGCGGGAGGAGGCCTGAACTTTTCTCTTGAGAGATGGGATTTGCGGCCGACCACAGCCCATGTCATCATTCACGTGCAAGCACTTCCCATGATCGGGGCTTTCCCGGCCAGAAAAACACATCTGCACTCCACAATCTTTTAGCGATGCTTCGAAGAAGCTGCGTGCTGATAATTGACATCATGAGCCTCTGTATGGCTCGTGGTGAAAGCATGAAACATGCCCAGCATTCGCCACCTCCCTGAACCGACTACGTGTAGCGCTCTCTCAGGGCAGTCGCGACAGAGTCACAGAGCGACCGTGGGTAGGGTTGGGCACGCAAGCTCATGAACCTGCCGGAAGCGTCAGAGCCGTGGAGTCGGAGATGAGGACGTCCAGAGGCCGAACATCGGCCGCGGGTTGGCTGGCATACCCGGCACACGGATTCCAACCAATGCGCCGGTTGCGACAGCAAGCCTGCAGGCCGTCGCCAAGGCTCTTGAAATTGGCAGTAATCTACTCGAAGCAGTTTGGCCTCTAGTGCAAGTTGTTGCAGTTGAGGCGTTTGCCAAATGAGAGAGGAGATTGGGTTTTCCAAAGCCCACGGAATCTGATAACACCGGCAGAAGTGAATGACTTGAATCGCGATGGCTAAAAGCTTGTTGCCGTTGTCAACCTGGGCCTGGTCACGACGAGAAAGCCCAGGGCGACCCCATAGATGATGAAGATCATCACGCAGTGGAGGGCGCGCAAGCCCATCATGTTTATGCCCAGGAGACCAGGAGGTACCCGGAAAGCCCAGCCATACGAGCACAACGAGATGCGAGCGCATGAAGTTGAAAAGCTGGCGTTGAACGGTATGCCTGCGTAGGTCACAAGAGTCACCGTAGGCGATGTCGAGTGCTGCGACGTTGAAGCCAACTGTATGGTATGGAATGCCGAAGATAAGCGAGCACAGCCAGAAAAGAGTTCCAAAACCCACGGTGCCTTTGAGCCTAGTGAGGAAGTGAAAATTTTGCCATCCGGAGGCCAAGATGACGTTCCGCTTCCAGCGCGCGGGTTTGAACGTCCTGCGGAAGTTGTTGAAACTCGAGCGCCAGCGTGCCGTGTGCTTCGTATCTTTTCAGACTGCTGTCTGTTACCCATCGTCCCCTCATTTTGCACTCTAGCAGAGTCCGGAGGTTGTGGAGACGATCGTGGCTGGGGCCGGAGTGACGGAGCTGGTACAGAACCGCATGGTTGTGGCGGCGGCCGATACGGACGAGAGCTTGTTGCCAATGGAAGCGCAGCATCCTGTAATCTAGGGTGAACAGCGGTAGACCTGCACGGCGATTGGCAAGTTGACCCAGTAGACGGCCTAGGTGGGGGATGAGCGGCGAGTCCAACACAATAGTTTCGTCCGAGAGTCCGGTCTTGCTGGACTCCCAGCGGTCCGCTGGTTGCAGATTGATGGTGAAGTGGCGAACACTCCGAGTCGGCCTCACCAGATCTGCCGACCGGATGCACAACGCCTCCCCAGGTCTGAGGTAAGCGCTGAACATGATCAGAATAATCAGGAAGGCTTCGTAGATGCGATTGTCGAGCAGATCCAGGGCAATCAAGGCGATCAACGCAAAGGGGATCGGAGGTCTGGTCTTGCCGGGGTCCATGTTCGACCAGCCCTTCAAGCATCGCCTGGATCTCGGGAGCACCATCTGCTGGGAAGAGCCGGGCCTTGCATCCAATACAGCTGCGAAGACCTTGCTTCCTTCGGAGACGTCGGCCCCTTCCTCGAACAAATTGTTCAGATAGATGCTCAAGGACTCGTCCAACTGGATCTCCGGCATGGCCCTGATATCCTTGATGTGCCTCGCCTCCATAAAGCGCCGGAGGCGGCTTGCATAGTCCGCTGCCACCGGCGCTGAGACTGCCACTTGTTCCAAGAATGTTTGGCCATGAAGCCGGGGTGAGCTCGTCCTCGAAATCAGCTTCTGTCGCTTCACCGCTTTCTCCTCTTTCGTTTCGGCCTGAAGGGAGCGGCGGATTGCGGCTCGATTGGTCATCAGTGACGGCACCGGCTGATTGACATGTGGCTGCAGGCTCGAGCGGACCGTGCTCGCCAGAGCCGGTGAGGAGACTGTTGAACTTGATGTGGCGCTTGTCCTTGGCTTTCCTGAGGTGCTCCCACCGCCGCGAAGCATGGTCTGCTGGGTTACGTTCACTTGGGATCCACCTATAGTGAACGCAGCAATTTGAAGCGATGATGAGCGCACACAGCCGTCTGCAAGAACGTAGCATGGGGTATGAAGCGGACCTCCCTTTTTCACAGCATAGCACGACAGCAAGGTTGTCGTTAAGATGTAAATGACGTTTGTTGAAATTTCTTCTAGCACGGCACTTGTGTCGAATAGCTGCAACCACCCCTCGAGCTTCAATGACCGTGATAGGTTCGGGATCCGCCGTATGAGCTGCAAATGCCACGAACCATTCTGAACCTGTCAGCGCGGGCGCTGGAACCTCATCAAAGTCAGGATTGATGGCAAACGGGTCCTGTGGCAAGGTATGACAGGGGATAACAGTGTCCGGATCGGAGAAAGGATCTGGCTTCTGGTCGGGAGTGAATGCCTTTTCACGCGGGGCAATGAAGTCCCGAGCTTGAAATCGCCATCCCTCCTTGCGTCGCGCAATCTCAGCGACACCTCCGGCACTTAAATCCCTATATGTCACAGCAATGCCTGAGAGTGATGCGTCCGAGGCTGTGATTTGATCGTCCCACGGTCTTCTTAAGCTTGCATGACACACAGGAAGGAGGCTGCCAAGCCATGAAGCCTCACGCGCTGCAGAAGTCCACAGCCTCACGCGATTCCGGTAATTTGAATGAATAAAAATCGTAGAGCGATCGCATACATGCCAGCAACTCCCTGCGCAACATCATGAAGTGCACGGCATGCCCCACTAGCTTTTCGATAGCCTGGCCGGTTACCCTGGGGCGCGGGCTGAGCCGCTTGAAAGCAGCGATTACTCTTCCCACCTTGTCCGGAATAGGAGTCACCGTGCCCTCCACACCGTCAATGAAGAACCCCAGCGAAGATGCTGAGGAGCAGGCATCCATTTCCTCATGGACGCCGAAGCCGAGAGACCTCAAATGGGCGACAGTTTTGTCTTTTGCATTTTGTACCCTCTGCGCATCAATGCCCGCAACGTTGAGGTTGTCCGCATAAGCAATAATGAGCGGCTGACCGTCTTCGAGGGAAGGAGCCGGCTTCTCTGCGACCAAAATGCGGTCCGGAGCTAAACCTGATCCAAGTATTGCTTGTACTTGGTGAACCCTCTGTGCCCAGTACATCGCCCATGACCATCCCATGGGTACGACCCTAAAGCACGCACTGCAATGTTTGGGGCATCCTCAAAGAATAAAAGTAGTCTGTGATGTCCGACTGGGCCACAAACAGGGTCTGCCCATCTGGCACCTCGACACTGGACCACGAAGAGCCTGCGGCCAACATCATCGAAGGTGGATCCTTGAATCTTTGATTCACTCCCCGGCAGTCCAGGACGAGCCTGAGCTTGCCAGACTTTTTGGCCACGAAGAAGGGTGTCATTAGGTCCTTTGGCTGATCCGTGAAAGCAATCATACCTCCTAGGTAGAGGGAGTGTACGAATTGCACATACTTGCGAGAGTCTCGCTTGAGAACAACGTCCATGTACGGCGTGACCCCGAGCCCCTCTTCCACCTTGCGCCCCCACTCATCAGGGTCAAGCATCATATTCCCAACCGGGTCCAACCGGGTCCTTCAAGATATCACGACCAAAGTCATCCACCAGATCCTGGAGCGGGGGAGGGCATGACCCCACCCGAGGGAGTGAAACCAGGTCAGGGTTGAAGGGAGGCCTCCTCGTTGTAGGAGAGGCAAGATTGCAGAAGCGATCTGGTCGCCTCACGCTCACTGTACAAAGGTATCTTACTTGCGACGCGGTCGACCTGCTGAAGTATTTGCCCTTGGGCGGCATACTGCGCGGTGGTCGGGGATATACTGGAGCATGCATGAGTCCCAGCCTGGCGATACATCTCATTCAAGGCGCCCAAAACGTCATTGGCGAGCTTGACCTTGCGGTTGAATCGGGCCGCCCTTCGCCGTCGAGAAGTGCTGGAAGACAATCCCGAACAATCCCGAGGCTGAATCATGGGTATGGGAAAAAGGTCTCTGTTCCTGTCCTCCCCATCAAAATTGGTAAAATCCTTGGAGTGAGAACCCAGGCGAGCTGCATTGGTAGGTGCCAGAAGAACGTTCCTCGAACACCTAGGGGCCTGACCGAAAGCACATAGTGGCTGCGGCCCCGCCAGCCACCGCTTCCACGCTCATGGCGCGTCGCCGCCTCCACCCTTTGCCCCCGACTTCGGGTTGGGCTTGCGGCGGCGAAGATCTGCTTCCTCACGAGCCTTCCTAGCCTCCTTGGCGATGGCGGCCTCATTCTTGAGCTCAGATGCCACATGGGCTGCGAGCCCAGCATCAATACCTTGGCCGGCTTTTCGATACTCCCATCCCATCATCACGTCGGCCGCCGAGTAGTCCGGCGCTCCAGGACTGATTCGGTGCGCTTCCCTGATCACTTGAAGCCTACGCCCGATGAGCTCCGCGGCTTGGAGACATGGCACGTTGAGCTGATCCACGGTGATCATTGCCTCCAACACTCGAGAGAGGCACTCGTGTTCATAGACTGAACGATCGCCTCTGAAGAGCTCGGAGCTCCGCACCCAGAACTCGTGAAACGTCGAGGGAGTGAAGCTCTGCTCCCGCATCATCTTCAGCACGTTCAGCAGTGAAGCCGGTCCCTGCAGCTGTAGCCCGCCTCCCTGGGGAGAGGTGTCCTGCATCAGGGCCATTGCTGCATTGAACTCCCGCCGTCGGATACCCTGGGCATCGAACTGGACGGGCAAGATGCGAATGATGCGAAGGTCATCGAACCGGGCATTCGCGACCTGATCTGGGGAAACCTTCCTGACTGACAGTACCAAGTTTCCTACCGGCACCAGAGTGCGGTCACCGAGAATGATGTGACCCTGTGGAAGGGGACCGGGATCGACAGCAATGACATCGCCTCGGGTGTGTGGGCCCACATCTTCCAGTGCAACCCACGTGTTCAGGGCGGCCGCCGCAGCTGGAACATTACCGTCGGCTGGGTGGCCAACAACGACAGGCCCGGCAGGACCAGGAACAGCTGCGGGGGCAGGAGGGGCAGCACCCCGAGCTACCAAGAATCTCGGCGTCCCAATCGTAGAAGATCACCGAATCTTCGGGCATCCATGGGCGCGAACGCATAAACCTGCGCAGCAGGGACTTGGCGAGGAATCCTGCCATCGGGAGCATGATAAAAGCGGACGAAATCAGGATTCCCTGGAGCAAAGAGCTCGATCATCCATTCCTGCCCTCCCAAGTCAGCCGTCAGCCGTCAGCAACCTCGTATGCCAAACGCCCGGATCGGCAAGATATTGCACATATACAACATCACCGACCTCCATGCTACTGGTCTAGAATCTGCAGACCCTTTGGCGCCCCGAGGACGCCCTTGCCGGATCTCCCTTTTACAGACACAGACCACTCCTTGTTGCCGCTCTCGGACTGCGCAAATCTGAAAACCAAAGCTGCGTTAGAGTACACCAATGCTACTCCCAACAACGCGGAAAGCCAGAACCAGACACTGAGGGGCTCAGCTCTATCAGTGGATATCGGATTCGCACAGTGGCACTGGCACACAAAGGGGTCTGACTTTGGCGTGGAGGAAGGATGAGTCCACCAACCCAAAGCGAGTCCTCCGACTGCTAAGCAGATATGCGAGGCATCCATGGGTCTCTACCCTGAACTTTTCTCTTGAGAGATGGGATTTGCGGCCGATCACAGCCCATGTCATCATTCACGTGCAAGCACTTCCCAAGATCCGTCTAAGACAGTACGGCTTTCACTCGACATCATCAGGTCTGTCACAAACACCAAGCCCTGGTGGAGCAACCACATGTCTAAACTCACATCAACCCGAGGGTTTGAGTCTTTCAGTCTCTTGGGCTTTATGTAGGTCCAAACACTTACGTGACAAGAGGTTTGAGTCTCGGGATCCCCAGGTCCAACAAGTCCAAGTCACTGAGCTGCATGCGCTGCTACAACCTGGCAGAAGCAGTGGGGATCTGGCGACCAGCTGCCTTTAAAACTGCCGAAGAACTAACGGGCAATCGCTCCCACTGAGGTGCTGGAATGGAAACAGCCCAAGGCCAAAACTCCAAAAGGCCAAAACCATGGAATGAAGTGCAGCTGATCAGAGATCGGTCTGTTGGGTCCAAGTGATAAAAACTCTGAGAGTCAGAATACGGGTTGCGGGTATATTCTGGTAGAACTCTAGAGTGGACCATAGGGGGATCTCAATCCGTGTCTCGCACTCTCAAGGTTCGGGGACCCTAGCATCTTCCCTGTAAGTGACGTAATCTCAAATATTTCCAAAACTCTGCAGCAAAGGTAGCACGGTTTTCTCTAAATGAAAGTATGCCCCCAAGCTTTCAAACCCAAAGGCCGAAACACTAAAGCCTACGACCCGACATAGCCTCAAATCCCAAGCCCTACACCTGAACCCTGCTCCAAGCCTCAAGCCCTCACAAACCTGAACACTTCAAACGGGGGCCAGCCGACGGGTCGCCAACAAGCTGCACTTTTTAAAGTATCTCCAACAGGTTCTACAGGATTTCTAAGGTTTTAGTGATACTCGTCAGACTCGTCATTGGCTCTACAAACATGCTTGGTACAGGCGCCCCATCTTCAGACTACCTTTTCGGGGTCTCATCTGCACATGTACTACTTACGTGGCCTCGGGGAATACATTAGACTCTAGCGCTACGGTCAAGGGTATTCAGGTTTAGCTTACCCAGAAAGCAAGCAATCGGGGAGTCAAAATAACAATGTGAACGGGACCTGAACTCCATACGATCAAAGTTCACGAACCCAGCAATGTCTGAGGCTTCAACCCGCTCACGCAGTGACCGTCTAGTCGGCACGTGCGAGAACCTCGTGGTCATGGATTTCCTACTGTTTGCTATGGGCACCGAAGTGATCAGCAACGCTAAGCCTGACCCTCTGGATCCTGCTGGCACCACTGGAGCAAAAGCGGTTGTAATGCGGAGGCCACGAACTTGGCGTATCAAGCTTGTTGCACATTTTCGGCATCAGCCTTTTGTAGCATAGAATCTGAGAGATGATAGTCCCACTCTCCAACACGAGCAAAAGCTGGAGAACATCACAGGTGTTGACAACCCACGGCCGCTACGGCAGTCAAGCAATGCTATTTGGAGTATCGCATGGTGCGGCGAGATTTCTGGTGCTTCCAAGCCTACGTCCCAAATTGTCTTAACGCGTCAAAGTGCAAGCCCTGTATGATGAGCTTGAAGGCACCTATGCATGCGTGCACGCACACACACCTAAGCGAAAAGCAAGCACATCCGGCTGCTGTCAATAAGACAGCAAGTAGTTTGATACTGACAGACAGTGGATTATCTTCCAACTTAAGGGAATCCAAAGAGGTCCTTAGAACCTACGACCAACAACAACCCCATCAGATAAATGCTGAACCCCACCCCCTATAAACAGGAAGCCCTTGAACCCAAACCGAATGCCAAAGTAATGCTCCGTCTTCACAAAACGCTAAACCTCAGGCAAGATGCCAGGGCTCATCGCCAAGCACCTGTGGTAAACATTCGACCATTAGCATTGGGCGAGGACCTTCCTAGAATCCTAGAAAATCAATCGTATGGTGTTGGATTTAGGGCTATCCTTCGGATGATGTCAGACATTCGCGCCCAAATTGAGGACGTGACTTTGAGGCATTGGGCTGGCCTTTAAGATTTGAATGCTCTGCGATGCTTTTGGGAGTGAGGCTCGGTCTAAGGCTTTCGGACTTCTGAAAAGCGTTCCAGCGTGATTGAACAACACGGGCATTGTTCCTTGGCATGTGGACTGGCACGGGTCTTCTGAGTGATTTGCCCAAGCAAGAACATCTTCGGAGCACTCTATGCCCCACGACCCAAACATCGTCTCAGTAGGGATAGCGTTCCTCTTGCATAAATGTGCCGGGACTAGAGGGAGGTGCGGCTCGAAAACTAGGCCTGAAAAGTATCCTTGCGCCTCGATGCCAGGCATTTTCTCTGGAAGGCTGTCAGGCCTTGGCTTGAACAACACGTAACACATCTGCTCACTGTCACACTAAGTCACGACATAAGAAACTGTAATGATAACTATTCCATATATTGTAGCATATCAACATGTAATATGCTAGTGCATACACTGTAGTACACGAAGTCTCGGACAAAAATTCACCCTGGCCTCGGAAATCCCTGCCTCCAGGATCTCGTGCTTTTCAAAAGGACCCTTCAACATCTCGGGTGTTCTTGGCTTTGGGTTTAGGTAATGATTCCTGCAGCACAGACGATACAATGCGACATGAAAAATAAAAAAGAGCCTTAGGAAAATCACAGTCCAAGAGCAAAGCAGGCCGCAACTTCCGAAAGTGCGACGCGAAGCCAACAGTCAAGCTCCGAAATCCTCCAACCAGGTGTGGTTTCGACAAACAAAACGCTTGCCGAATCCCAGAAAGCGCTTCGAAAAAGTACAGCTCAAACTATGCAATCCAAGAGAAGCCCGAGGCAGCGCATGGCGTTGTGATCCCAGCAGACAGATTTGCTCAACCCGTATAAATGGCCATGAAAAGCTCCTCCGCCCTTGCGACAAACCTTTAGGCACCAAGCAAACGCTCCCCTGAAGCCCTAAGCCCCAAGCCCTGCCTAGAGCCTACCCTAACCCCCCAGAGATCAGCCGGGCAGCTCATGGTCGGGAGGCGCCGGGGGCGGCGGAGGAACCCCCTCAGAAAGAGACTCTCGGGGGTTTTCGAAAAGAAACGCATTTTGGGTGGTTGGGGGGAGTCTTGAGTGGGGCTTATGGGGTTCAACGAGGCTTATAGGGTTTCGCGGGGTTCAGGGGGTTTCGACTTCCACAGCTTGGGCAATCCGCGCGCGGTGTGCTACAATTTACAATCTTCTACCCGCCAGCAACTTCAGACATATTCTCGCGAAGATTGCAGCTAACAAGCGCAGCATAGCTTGTTAGTCTCCTCTCCGGCCGCCTATCCCAAGAACAGACGTGCTCCAACGTGCACCACCCTGGCCGTCGCACGTGTCATGTGCCATGTGTTCCGATCCGCGGCTTCCTCCAGCAACTGGTGGATTAGCTTCCCTGGTGGTCCAAGCAGTGCAGCTGCCGCATCATGTGGAGTGGATTTAGGGTTTCGGGCTATCGGGTCCAAGGGCTAAAGGACCGCAAAGCTTCCTTGCTCCGGTTTGTGGGTCGCTGAGCGTTTCCCAAGGGTTCGACATTGCATTGGTAGAGCCAATCAATATATGCCCCTATTCATTAGTTTTGGTTTTCCTGTACCTTGGAAAAACCATGAGCTGCCTCCTCTTGGGATCCTCTAGGTATGGAGCTGTATGGTTTCGGGTTCCACCAACCGTGTTTTGTACTAGCAAGTCACTACAAAAGCCAACACCACTGACTCTTCTAAGGGAACCTTACTGTTGAGGCTTCGGGGGCTTTAGTTGTGCAAGGCCTTCGGCGGTACTCCCGCGCATGGCAGAACCTCCGCCATGGGATATTGGAGGCCAAGCCCGGCAGAGGTCCGTGGACACAAAAACCGCCGACGATTATTCGCGTGAGTGGCACCTTTTGCGATGATTCGACGGTTTCACTGCTTCCGTACAGGACCCACCCGAAGCCCTCAACAGCCGCCGCCAAGCCAACTGAGTCTGCAAAGGCTGACCACCAAAACAATGACCCTAACCAATTGAACAAATCAGTCTCAAATCAAGCGAAGCCGATATAAGTACAACACCATGAAGACCTACTATAAGCCCCCAATAAAACCTGAACCGCAACTCCTCCAACACCCCGACGTTCCCAATTCCCCAAAACCCTGAGAAAGCACGCCAAGGCGCCCGTGGGAGGACCGGCGGGGCTGGCCTTGGCGCAGCACCAGGGTTTCTTGGGTTTCCTTCAACATCCGCGGGGCTTCCATTGTAGGTTGAGGTCTTTGCTGCTATGTAGAATCGGTCTGCTAAGCCTCCTCTTGAAGGGGTCTTTACCAGTTACTAGAAAGGGCTACTGTAGGGGTATACGGGTTTTGGGATACGTCACAGTACACGCATATTGGGATTGCCAGTGACATTGGGGCTCGTGGAAAATTAGAGTGCCCCTGGTGTAAACATCTGACTCTCTCTCTCTCTCTCTCTCTATATATATATATATATATATATATATATATATATACACATTATATCTATATAGGCTTATATGTATACACACATGTAAATAATAGATAAAAAATGTATATCAATAGGTCATTCTCCACAGAAGACAATATTACACACGGTCTTGATGACATTCCAGTGGACAGGCTTATTTAACCTGCTGAGGCTCCGCAGAGGTTCTTCTCCTCTACAGCTTTGCTTACCGTTGAAGACTTTCAACCGGCCAGGGTTTTCGTTATCGATGAAGCCCTCAGCCCCCACAGAATCTTCTGCGTCAGCCGAAAGAGCCCTCTTTGTGAATTCCTTACGCTGCATCGCGTCATAGTAGGCCACCACAACGAGAGCGGGCAGCTGCTCGATTTTTCCAACTTGATTCCACGCAACAACTCCCAGTGCCTTGGGGAAAAGGTCTACAGGTCTTCCCGAGGGACACGCGCGCTTCTTGGATATGACGTCATCCGAAATCTGCAAGACATCTGTCTTGTGGCATTGTCGTGAGCCTGTAGCTTCGCTTCAAAACTCGTGACAATACCCTACAGCCCCGACCAAAACACCACAACACAAGTCCCAACCAGTTAAGCCAACCGAAATCCAAAACACTAACTGCGGTTCCCTGAACCCTGCCGAATCCGTCAACTACTAAATCGTTTTTGAACCCAAGCTGAATCCGCTTGGCAATATCGGCCAAGTCCAAATTTATAAACCCACGACCTCCATGTCCCAAAAAGAGCAAGGGATGCGTACGGCTCCAGGTCTCAGGGTGCTGATTGATCAAGGCCTTCTCAGCTACTGGGTATTCAACCCGAGGACCCCAAGCCCGGAATTTTTTGCATCTACTCACGTGGTGAGTCCCGAGCCAAGTCTGTATCGGCGATGATCGAATGGATGACCGTATGAACGTAGGAATGCATGTATGCTGACGATGAAGCCAGAAAGTCCTATCCTTCACCTTACATGATGTGTTATGCAGGAACATATTTTGCCTGTTTTGCAGATGCATGCATGGACGGAGGCCCACGCTTCCCGTACAGACTTGTTGCAAGTTCGTGCTGGTCACCCTCAACCCTAACTGCCAAAAACCCTAGGCCTAAACCCCAAACCCTTCAAAACCATAAGCCCTCAAATCCTTGTACCTCCCCCAAAAGGGTGAAGTCTCCGGCGCAACCCTCGGGGGCCTGGTGAAACGAAAGGGAAGTCTTGGACTCATCCCTTTCTTGGCTTCCTACAAAATAGGTCTCCTCTCTGCGGGCTTAGGGGTTTCTGGGGCTTAGGGTTTGGGGGTTTAGGGGTGTAGCCGGTTTAGCAGGGTTTCGGGCATTCGGGTTTGACTGCAACAAAGGGGTTGAGGGCTTAGGCCTCGTCTCTGCGGTCTCACTTACTTGGGAATCGACGCGGCTTGGTAATGTAGCTACAGGGCTGGTGGGGTCTATGCAAAGGCTTTTCAGCACTCGCAACTAGGCAGCACCAGGCGGGTCGTCGGGCAATAATCTCAACATGTAAGCAGGTAAGGATAACGTGGGGTAAACGTCGCCTCTACGCGGTATGTTTAGGGGCTGGAACTGGCCTTTCTGAAATCCAGAGAGGAAAATGGCTTGCGACAGTGACATTCTCTTTGACTGCAACAAACTCACGGGCCGGAGGTAAGCCATGTGTTTTATGCTTTTTTAAAACTCGAAGAACGAGAGTGCGCTAGGGTGCTGCAGCTTGAGGTTTAAGAGTGCAGAACGCCCGGAGGCATGAACCCTATACCAGGTTTTGGACAACCATATAACTTATGTAACGCTTTAGGGTTGAGTTAGGGTTCGGAATAACTCGGCAACCGAACATTGAGAGGTTCTAGGCTTTCGCGCTTGAGGTTACAAACCATGCTCACAAATCAAGAAGCGTGGACCCAGGGAAATAGAGTCTTGGTAAAACTCAAGACAGTTAAAGGGTTTGTGCTTGCCTGCTACATCTTCTTCTTAGTCATAGTATCCCCTTAGTGTCCCTACACAAATACTGTTTTTCTGGACGCCCGAAAACCCCACTCTAATGAAGGCCTAAGATGTGGGCTTGGGAGCAGCTGGTGGGTGAGGTCGCCAGTAGCTGAGTCTGCAGGAAACAAGGGCTGCAAGCAGGCTTCTGGGCTTCGGCCAACTCCACCATTCAAGCTGTTGAGAACAAGCCCGAGTCAGAACCTCCGATACCCGTAGCAGCCAGAAAGTCTCTCGAAAACGCAGCGTGGCGAAGCCATTGGCAACAAGGTGCCGGCTGGTCATGCACATGGGAGGTTGTCAGATCTAGGGCGAGCTTCGGATATGCCAAAAACATCAGGCAATAAAGTTACTAACACCACGAACCAGGAGACAGATTAATTATGAAAGAGGACAGGACTACCGATACGCTTCGGCACTGGCCGTAGGAAGCTTCCTGGGGATGGTCCGAGGGGTGCCTGCCTCTGTAAATCCTGGGGTTGCAGATTTTGGCTGTGAGGTCGTTGGAGGGTTTGGGACAACCGGAAATGCGATAATGCAGGGGCCTGAATAGTTGGAATGCATCTGGGGGTATACTGTACTGTAATTGGAGTCTGAAGTTGAGGGCTACAGGATGACATGCAAAAGCCATCGTAGACTGTGTTTCGGCGCCAAATATACCCACGCATCCCCAACAAGTCAAGCAGCTGCCTCCCTTACAGCCCCGGCAACCCTGTTCAACCTCTATGTGCGGTTCAGTTTGGGGCGGCCTAATATGATGATTAGCATTAGGCTGGCGGGGCTTAGATTATGCTGAAATTTGTCAGGGAATCCTAAGTCCTAAGGAATACCAGTATGTTAAAGGCCCAAAACCCCAAGCCCTAAGCCAGCACAGAGAAAATCCTGAATTATGAGACACCTTCGGGTTGAGGCTCCGGCGATCTCCGGCAACTTCCCACAGAAGGAGGGCTTCTCCATTCAGAGACGAGAGGGTCACCCTAACCCTCCTGCACGGGACCTGTAGACCTCAGGGTAGGCAATGAATGGCTCGACTGTAGGACCTTGGCACTGAAGAGGTCGTTCCTCATCCTCAGCTCCGCAAGCTCCGCATGGCGGTTTTGGTGAGTGCCGAAGCACTGGGTCACACATTATGGGCTCTCAGGCTTATGAGCGTGGATTATGCCTGGACTTCCGGATAACTGGAGTGGGAGCTTCGGGCCCGGCTATATACATCTAACCTGTACGTGAGGCACCCATTCCTTCCGAGCAGCATGGATCAGCAATGCGAATCGCGTGACGACGACTTTTCAACTGCGACGATGACGTTTTGCTCTATTGCCAAACGGCTTACCGTTGCTAGCCTCAGAAAGGCCAGCCTTTCATGGCAACCATTCTACCAGCTGTTGCGTCAATGACCTGGCTCCTCCACCACAACATGTCAGATATTGCCGGTGGTTCCAGCATAATCTTCAATCCTCTAGTGCATTATTGAAATATTCTACATTCAAGCCTCAAGCTTCTAACATTCTATTTGAGAGCTACCGGTAGGCTCCGTCAGGTTTGGATGTGAATGAAGGCTGCGGCATCTTGCCGGGGATATTGCTTTTTGCAAGTAGGTCAATCTTTGTATTAACTCTTACTAATTCTATAGCAACCCGACATGGAGAACCTTCACAGCATACCCTTTGCAGTAACGTGTTGGAGCAATCCTTCATAGACCTGGTGCCCCTTGTAGCACTTCAACAACCCCCTTAGACCCACCACAACAACCAAGACTACTTCCTCAAATTAGTTTATTGTACAATGGAGAGGACAAAACACAAAGAACGCTCAGATGCAGCTGAGCCTCAAATTCCCCAACTTGTCCTCCAAGCTCTTGGAGTCGAACTTCGACTGAATCCGCTGCTTCAAGATCTCGTTCTTCACCTGCACTGCTGAAGCTTCTGGGTTCCGGGTTCAGGCACCTTGGCTTTGGATTTCGGGCTTGGGGGTTGCTTCGGTCTCTTACTTTGAACACCTGGGCACAGACGGCAAGAGTCAGGTCACGACTATTGCACCAACGGGAGAACGCCGACCTCGCGGAAGTTCACACGTCGCTGCAGGGGGAGTGGGAGGGAGCGAGGCACGCCTGACAAATAACATGGGAACCTCGAATGAACATGACAGAAGCAACTCACACAAAGTATCGTCCAGGCGGTCATTTGCTTTGTAGATCAAGTCTGGAGACGCTGGTGCGAGAAAATCTTCCAGCACCAGCGATGTGATCATAGACCAACGCCCCTATGTGAAAGCCGGTTCAGTCCAGGGCAGTGCTTCCATCCGTCGTCATGTGCCACGGTTGAACGGCCCGCCCCACAGCATACTCGACACTAAACCTTCACAACCGAAATCCCAAGACCGTTTGATGCCAAAGCCTTAATTTGCAAGTTTTCGATGGAAGATCATTGCCGATGGTAAGATGTCTTTCGGCTACATGTAACGAAAAAACGAATGTAAGCACAACAGTAAACCATGCAACGCCCTCCAAGCCCCGATGAAGACCTCTGTCGAAACCATTTCAAAACTTATACAGCCGTTGCCATGACTGTTAATCATTGGCTATTGCTACCTGTTGCCATGGCCGCCGCCATCATGACCACAGTTGAAACCAGGGTTCCTTGAGTATGTTTGAGTTAAGCAGACACCTGAGGCGAGGTTTCTAAGCCATTGCCCCACTCCCTGCGAAGATCCAAGGTGATAGACGCCTTCGATACCAATCATACACCACCAGTGATGATATAACAGCTTGGACTCCAAACGCTCAAGACCAAGACTCTAAAGCCCGGGACCCAGCACCTCGACCCTGAGTTCATGAGTAGCAATAACGAAATTTGTTGGTGTTGCTGTTGTTCTATCCGCACAATACTATTTATTAGTTAGTGAATGACATAACAAAAGTGAAAATTCGCGAATGATATAACACTCACAGTGGGTCCCATTATAATAATAGCACTATTAGTGATTATTCGTAGTTCTGCTAGTACCCTCATAATGATTAAAGGATCCCTTTACTTAAGGGCATTCTGTTCTGGGCTCCCGACCTGCTCTCTGGCCTTGTAGGCCTCGGCCTGAGCGGCTCTTCGAAGCTCCCACCTGGAAAGCTTCGAGGCGAGGCACCCCGTTTGGTTGTTGGTTCGGAAGATGCTTATAGAACGGTGAAGGCTTGTTTGCGCTCTTGCAACTCGGGCAGGCCAGACGAGGTCTCGGGTGCGTAGTACTTTGACTGGTCGGTGCTACAGCTACAACTGCTAGAAAGGGAATTGGGTGCTTTCTTGACGGCTTTATCGAGAAGTCACGGGGCTGTATCCAAAAGGGCTTAATCACGTGTTTCCACAGGGGTTCTGCACGGCTTTATACGGTTTCAGGCAGGGTTGGGGGTTCGTGTCGTGGGTCCTTTTCCCAAACATCGCACTGTCTGCTTTGAGGTTTGACCCATTTTCTCAGACTCCAAAAATGTGAGGGTTGAAATTCCGGGATCCGTAAGCGTGTGAAGTTTGCAGGCATTTGTGGGCTTCTGCTTTGATGTTACAAATTTTAAGGTTTCAGAGATCACGGTACATGGGTTTGAGGTTTGGGGTCCCAGGGGTCTTGTGGGGTGGCTTACGGGTTTGATGTTCAGACTCCAAGGTGACGGGCCTGTTCATAATTTCTGCAGGTCTCTAGCGGCATCAGGAGAGAGGAGAAGTGAAACGGTGCAGGAAAACTCGGCTTATTGGGTTTGGGGTTTAGTGGTCTTAGGCCTCCGCCTGTGCTTGGCATAGGGTAGCTTTGGGATTCCTCATCTTAGGGTAGCTTTTGGTTTGATTCTCGGGGCTATTTAAGGAGGCTTCGCGGTTCAGAGTTTTGAGGGCCAGGGCCCGCATCTGCCTAGGGCTTGCAGCCAGCCATAGCTCTACGCTTGGCATAATAGTAATGCTTGGGGTGTTGAGATTGGCGAGCTGTGCCGGGTGTACCTGATGATGAGATTCAGGCACGATCGGCCTAAGGATATTCGAGTTTTGCTGAGTCTGTAGAATTGGCATCATCAGCACCATGTGGAGATCATCGCTTTGGCTGCCAGCTGTCCTTCTAGGGGTTGAAGGTGCGCAACAAAACCTAAACTGTAAAACCCTAACGCGCATTACGACCCAGTGCAAGGCACATGCGCTGGCGCTCCGCATTGAGCTGATCGATCTTATCGTCCTTGCGGAAGGATCGATGCAGGCTGTGGGGTTCATGCCTTCCGTATGCTTCTGCGAGCATTGCGCAGTATAAAGACACAGGCTGTGGGAAACAAGACTTTCGGAATGATACTGACAATAACTTTACTTTACTGAACAACTCAACACCTTTGTTCTGAAACCATGAACATAGGAAAACCAACCAATGATTCTACCTACTTATTCAAGGACCCTAATATAAACCCTAGATCTTCACCATAACCTCCATCTATCTATGTTTCTATTTATCTGTATGTAGATACGTAATTACATATACACATACGTGCTTATAAGCCCAATTATATAACCTTAAACCCTGAATCTCCAAAGCCTCAACCGTCAACCCCTACACCCAAAAACTCTAATTCAGGTCCTTCTTGCGGACCGCGTCCGCGACAGACTCGCGCTCGAAGTCCTCACGCCTTCTCTGGCGCTCGACGTTAATCTCCTGCTGCAAGAGGATTTCACGCTTGCGGGGCTTCTAGGATTTGGTTTATCAGCTTAGGGTCCCAAACCCACCCGGGGGGCGGGGGGGCACCCACAGCTCCTTGTTCTTGGCGCGCAGGCCGTCCAACTCACGCTTGAAATCCAGGTATCGCTCCTTGGACAACGTGTGTGCTGTAAGGCGTTTGCATTGGGGTTTAGGGGTTAGGCGTTGGTTGCTTGCAAAGAGAAGGGTGTGCAAAGTTCCAGAGCGTACAGTGGCTTGGGCGAACTTCATGTCAATCTGTTGATTCTATCAGGTTTTGCTACCCCACCCCAAACCAAAGCGAAATTTCACGCACTGGACAGCAAACCATTGCGAGTGGGTCACGACCCCTATGTTGGAGAGCATTTCTGAAAATTCGCAGGTAGCTGGAGTCACAGGTTTACCATGTAATTTGTGAAAAGACCCCCAACGACAATAGAAGATTTGAAAACCCCTCAAGAACCCTTGCCGAACCCCTTACAAAGCCCGAGTGAAAGGAAACCCTTGAACCCTTGCCAGATCCGTGAAAAAGCTTCATGGAATTCACCGACAAAGGGTGCTTTTGCTGAAAGCTACCTAGATGTACCAAGGCTCTTTCTTGGCCTCATGCTCCATGAGCCGATACTCAGTCTCCTGCCAACAGACGGTGTTCGGGGCTTCGGGCTTTGCGTTTTCGCATCGCTGCGGTGGCGATGTTGAGATTCTCAGGCTAACAGCCTTACGGTTTAGGATTTGGTTTGGGTTCAGGTTAGCCCGTCTGTTTGGACTGCCCAACGAGACTTCTTTGCAGTGAATCCCCCGACACCTACCTGAGGATTGTGAAACCTTAAACTACAAAACATCTGCTGTCTGCCAACGTTTCTGGAACTGTGACTTGCCAAGGTTTCAATGTGGAGAAGACTTATGGTTTACGCCCAAGGTATGGTTCGGTTCAGGATTCACAGCTTCAGTCAAGACTTGGTGTCGAGGTTTCCCAAAGCCTCCGTTGTAGTTCCAGGTTTGGCTATCCAGCTGGCGGGTTAAGAAAAGCTTTCAGGAAACAAGCCAAACTAAGCACATTTGGAAGCCTGATTAGCGAGACTCGTTAGGGTTTCTATACTACACTGGTATGCTGAAGAGAGATCTCAGGAACAGCACTACTCTTGATCCCGAGCGCTGTATTAGAGGTGAGATCTAAAGGCTCAGGAACTTGCAGCTCCTCCTGCTGGTCCAGGATGGCCATTCTGCGATCTTCTGCGCGGCGCATCGCCTCTTCTTTGATGACCTGGCAATGGCTGTTTTCCTTGTGCTCACGCTGGACCATGCAAGCAACCTTAAACCGGTGAGGATGTGTGCTGGGGGCTTCAAGAAACTTTTGCACATTTAAGGCATTACGACTCTGGACTGCATACCTATTCTTTTTTGCTAAGAGCTGCTCGTGCTTTGTGCGGCCTGCTTACCGGGTGAAGGACCGCAGGCCGACCGGTTTGTCATTTTGGCTGTCTTCCAAAGCAAGTCTGGACACGCGCTTCATAAGACCAACACTAGCAAGCCTCAGATTGCTTGAGGCTTCGCTCGTATCGAGCTAGGTTTCAACCTCAGAGTCTCAGCCCTGCCTCCCCTCCCTGTCAGACCGAGAAAAGTTCCCTGGCTCGTTCTCTCCCTGACCATCGCACCTGGCGTTTCATCATCGTCTGGAAGGACCTGTCAGGATGGCCAGTAGGATCAAGAGCTCTTTCAACCCAATCAAATCAAGTCAAGAAAGTGCTGGATATTTCCAGCGTAATAACAACCTTCAACAAGGCGGTTGGAGGTCTGGGTAGAGGGTCTACATCGAGATCTATATGTATGCTTGCATGCATGCGCGAACACACGGATGCGCGTATATATTCCTGTATGTCTGTCTGTGTGTATATCTGTCAGTCTACAGATATACATGTGTCTGTGTGCATTTGTACAATTATGCAGATGTATGCATGTATAAGCATGTATACACACCGATCCAATATCAACACGTATCACGTATCTGTTTGCTTGTTTAAGATACCCGTCTTCCATGTATAAAATATGGTGTACAAGAAACTTTGCAGAGACGCCGACCACGAGTGAAGGAACCTTGCCGAAACAAGTAAGTAATGTTCGACTCGTTCGGGTCAGCGAAGACCATGGGAAATTACAAACTCGACCTCAAACCCGTGCACCAGGCAGATCGCTTAAGGGTAAGACCCAGAAACATCCGATAGACTCCGCACTACGCAAAAACCTTATAACTGCCCCGGAAGCCTCTTCGCGCTCTCCTCCTGCTTGATGGCCAGTGCTTGCATCAGCCTCTCCTCACGCGCTGCGTCATCCGCCTGCTTCTTCCTTGCGGGAAAGGCGGCTTGGTCGTGAGTTATGACTTAGGACTTACATGTACCCCTGGGCTTTCCCAGTAAACAAACGATTCTCGCTAGGGAAGCGAACTTCAAGTCTGAGCTCCAAAGCCGTAAAACCTGAGCCCTTAAGCCTGCACCCTAAGACCCTTGATTCAACCCTAAAGCCTAGGACCCGTGAACCGCTTGAACCCCAAACAACAGAAGTTTATAACCTAGACCTTTAGACCCCGAAACCGCTTACAGCTACGACACTTAAACCAAACCCGAAGACTCGGTGAAAATCCCAAGAAACAAGGCACAAACAAGTTCGAATACCTTTTACAACTCCTCTTGCGTGAACTAGACCCTAACGCGTTTTTGCAACCCTGAGGTCCCCTCTTTTGGAAAACCCAGAGAGGTAACCCCCAAACGCTAACACCCAAGACCCTCAGAACATTACAAATTCGACATATCCCTCCTAACTGGCTTTTTACAGGCTATATATCTACATGATGTATTATACGTTCATTCTTATATATGCGGCCAGGTGTATTTTATGTATACATACATACATATTCTCAATACTACCCCCATCTTTCAGAAACCCAAGGCTCTCGAAGTCGTCCCGGCGCTTCTGTTCCAGCTCCTGGTTCGCCTGACATGGCTTTGGCTCTTTGAGCCCTCGGGGGGGGCGCCCGGGCTTCGGGGGTTTAGGGTTTGCTGTTTTTGTGCCACCTGCATGCTGTTTAGGGTTTGAGGTTTTGCTTCTTTATGCGAGGGTCTTGGAGGGCTTGATTCCAATTCTTTAAGGGGCTCTGCAAGTGCAGGGCCTGCGATTTGTGGTCTTGGGATTTAGCGCTGACGAGGCTTTTTTGCAAAGGTTTTCAAAGGTTGTCGATGCTGTTCTCAATCGACAGGGTCTCGGGCTTGCGGTTTTGCCTCTCCCATTTCGAGGACGAAGCTGCGATGCAGTTGTTCGGTTTTTGGGCATGCGACCGGGCAAACGAAGTCCGAATGAACTTAGAGCAAACATGACTTGAGCTAGGGGGCTGATAATGATGCTGTCTAGTTTGGGGGTACTATACTGCAGCCATAAGCCATAATCATTATTCCGACCCCGTTCTTCCACAGTTCGGTGACTCTCTACCTCCAGACTCCAGATCCAACGCGTGCGGGCTTCAGCTGCAAGGTTACATAAGCCCTGCAGGTCTTGCTTGGGCAACTTAAGTTCAGAGCTTGCAAAGGGGCTGAAACTAGGAATGCTTGCGACGACCCAGAAACCTTCCACGCTGCCTGGTTGGATTCTTTAGGAGCCTGGAAGTGCCGGGGCTGTGGTCCGTAAACCCCAGCCCGCGGCATCGCGTGAACACTGCGGTTCTTTCGGGGCTAGAGGGTTTCGACTCGCCGGCTTGATGGGTCTGGCTGGAGGGTGCAGGAGTGACGTTCTTGTAGGCTGCATCGCAGGAGATCTTCATCCTCCCGAGCTACAGGAACTCAACCAGAGTTTAGGTCGTTTAGGTTTGCCTGAATGCTGTTGTAGATCCGCATGTCCCTCGCATCCTTGCGCTCCCGCAGGAAATCCTGAGATCAGGTTCAGGCAGATTTTAAGGGCCGTGGCTTGTATACATATCTGGACAAGGCGAAGGCTCAGGCATGTGGGGTTATGGAGTCGTTGCGGTTTCGGCTGATTTAGGGGAGCCTGGTGGCAGTCATAACTTCTATGTCGTCAACATATATATATATATATATATATATACATATACATATGCTCTTCCAACTTTAATTAAAGAGCCTCTGGTCTATGGTACAAACATGTGCAAAACAACTGAAATAATTATGGAGAAATCTGGAAAGACCTTCTACAAAAGCCATACCGTCCAGCTCAGAAAAAGGACACCAGTTCTAGCTCCAGAAAGCCTGAGAAAAAGAACACCCTGGGAGTCCTGGAAAGCCGCCTGTTTCTGCGCCATGAGGTCAGTCCTGCGGTTTGGGGGTTTACACGTGACGGTGTAAGGCTCCTGTCCCCTCTCGCATGGCTAGTTTCAGGGGTACGGCCCAAGGTCTTTACCCTTCTGGCTCTTAGCCTGCAGGGCTTCCAACATTGAGGCAGTTTCGGATTGCAGTTGGGGGCGGAGGGTTTGGACTTTGGCTGGTTCCTCCTCGCGGCCTCCTCTTCTCGTTTACGAAGCATGGTACTCCCAAGCAAACACCTTCAATTTTAATTACACTAAGCATTTCGGGGATCTTGAGATAAAGCTGACGGTCCAGGCTGGCAAACAGGTGTCATGCCTGCCTGCCTCGTTACACAGAATGCCACAAGGCTCGACTTGGATCGTCCTGAATCAACCTCAACGAAAACCACCACAATGAACAGGGAACGAACATCGTCGTGGTCATAGTGACTAGCCGCATCGGCATCTAAGCTTGCCTTGATGCAATGGAGTCGTTTCACTGCCCCTGGGGTGTATACACTGGGCTCGATGGAACTCGAAAGGCTTTTACGTGTATATGATGCCATGACTTCAGCAGACATAGGGAAGTGCTCTCGCCTCTAAAAACTCTAATGATGCTTAGTGGTCCTGGTGATCAGCGATGGTCAGCAGCTGCAACACACCAGTATGTCGGGCTCAGTGCCTTGCATCCATCACCTCTAGAAGCCAACGAGTCCTGCGCTGATCTTGGGCCCTCATCTCATCCTTGCGTGCTTGAAGATCGCGGTACTCCTCCAAAGCACGGGGACTTCATCGGGAAAAGCTTCTCGTTCCATACTGCCTGCTTCTCTAGTCTGCTTCTCTTAGTTCATGAGCGTCCGCTGGCTTTAAACTTTAAAGTTTGCATCGCAAAGCCCAACAAGGTGATGTGGCGCCACTCATGCAAGTGACAGTAATCTGGTCTTGCCGTAGTTCACTACGTTTTTGTACGTCATTTCGACAGTGCCCTGGCCAACCACGAAAACGAGACTCTTTGAAACGAATGAACACTGACTTCAAGGAAGGTACCATTATCATTAAAGTTAACGGTCACCCGTGGTCGTGAAGCTCAACGATCTGGCTCTCGTGAGCTTTCGGCTGTAGCCCGGGTCTTATTCTATACTGGGCGGGCTACGGTTGCGGTGTGAAAACAGCAGTGAACTGATCGAGCTGATATTACATAAGACATAAGCTGAAGCAACTTCATCAAACGTACGAAGATCCCGAAACCACCCTATAAAGCTCAGTGTGCTCGACCTCCCGCCTTAGAAGGTAAGCCCCAACGGACGACTTTGGAAATCCCTGTAAAAGAAGCCATAACCCCCTTACAGTAAACCGATATCCATTCTGCTCGAAAAGCACAGGCGCTGTACAGCTATAGTCGCTTGAATCCTCATGACCGACAAAAGTACCATGAGCAGAATACCCCCAAAACCCGGGTCCTGCTCTCGCTTTGCAGCCTTCTCCCTTTCAATCTCCCGCTTGCGTTCGGCGTCTCGAACTTGCCTCTCCTCGGCAGCATCTTGGCCCGCGCGAATAAAGGGGCATTGGTATCGGATTACAAGTTCCTTTGTTGATCGAAGGTGCTGTAGTTAGACGTACATGAAGTTTCGGAATTCAGGCCTTGGGAGTTTGGGGTTTAGTCTTCGATTAAGGCTTCTTGGGCAGGGGCATTCAGTTAAGGCCAGGGCAGTTTCTGCTGAGGCTGTAAAGTTTAGAGGTTGGGGCCAGACATCTGGGTGTATTGCGCTACTAGTCTGGGGCTTGGCGAGGCCTCGTGAAAAATGTGGATATTGCTCCATAACCCTGAAGGCACGGAACAACCCTTGACGAAGTGTTCGGCCGCTCAGACTATACGCACTATACCCCAAATGACTACATGAACGGTTACCCCATTTAAACAGTCATGATCTGCACGACCTCAGAAAGCCTTGTCAAAGTTTCAGGTTGCTTGACGGAGCTGGCATTCTCCCAGGCTGTCAGATCCACAGTAGCCGGCAGCACCAACTTGAGGACTGGTTCTGCAATAATTACACGAAGCGCAGGCTGCAGGGTGTAGGGTTTGAAGGATGGAGGGAGCCCCGGAAGCACTCAACAAGACCGTAACACCCCCATCAAGCGCACCAACATCTTGAGTTATGCCGAACCACCCGAAACCTTAACCTCTCATTCGACCCTAATCCCCTCCAGAATGACTCCAGGGTGCATAGGCTTCCTTCGACTTCTGGGCATCCAACTTCGCCTGTTCAACTTGGACCGGGCAACATAGACGCCGGATTCACGGACCCCCCTCGCTCGATAAGGCAGTCAAGATACCTAGCAGTATACATGGCTGCATACGTTGTGTGCCAATGTATACATGAAACTATATGTAGATATTGTAATTCTTTGTGGCTCGAGATCGGGTATTCAACTTCCTCTTCTTGACGCTCCTATTTACGGGTCTACTTCCGACCAAGTACTACACGCCGTAAACCAGTAGGCCGAACCATGCTCCAATGCTTGCAATCAGGACTCTCAAGCGCACCGTAAGTACAGTTCCTGTGGCTCTTGCCGAACCTAGCTTGAGAAACTGCGCGTTACTTTGGATCCAGAGGTCAAGCCAGCACTCCGCGGGCCCTCGCCAAACGCAAGAAACACAATGTAATCTCTGCTGGCCAAACTCCTAACTGTTGATGTTGTCCTAACGCTGACCGGACCTGAACCACCAAACCCAAAAGACCGAAGTCGCGGTGTTGAAAGCCTTCCAGGCCCAGGCGAATCCAAAGCAAACTTAATGACATCATACATTACACCGAGATTGATTCAAATCCCAAAGTTCGATGGACCCGAACCATTGGGCATTGGGGCCTTAGCAAGACTCAGGTCTTTCAGATAGCAAACCACCATCCTTCCGTGCACCAAAAGGGTAAAACATGCCCAGTACAAAGCCGTTCACCCTGAACCCCAGGGCCCTAGACCGTATACTGACTGGTCGACCAACCTCTTTAAGCCTGCCAGCTCGAGACGCGAAATCCTCTCGTATCCAGGCCGCTGTGAACCTAAACCTAGACTGAAGATCTCTACACCTCATCAGCCCAGCAGGAAACTTCGCCCTTGCACCTTGTTCTGAAGCTCGAGTTGCTGCTTGTGGAACTCCTGGATAGAGGTTGAGGGTCGGGGGGCTTGCTGGGGTGGGTGCCAAAGGCTGGGGGCTAAGGCTTCAGGGGTTGAGGTTTGTGCTTTGTAAGAATGTAGTCTGGGCTCGGTGCTGTAACATTTTTTGAGGCCCAAAAGACAAGATAAAGCCTTTTCTCATACTCATGCTCCCCACATGTAGCGATATTGTAGCAAGTGATGGCCCGACGTTCAAGGCCTCCACGACGAGCAAGCCGAAATTTTGGAGTGACGATTCAAGCAAGGCGAGAAGTACCTGACCTAGATACATAACCCATAGCCTCGTAGACGAAGCAATGAGGGGAGTGTAGGGGCTTCGTGCCTTTAGTGTTGGGCCTGGCACCTGATGCAAAGGTCCAAGCAATAAAAACAAGGTTTTGGTGTATAGTATACCTTGTTGGTCATATGGACAACATACTTGTGTTATGGACCACAAGGACATGCCACTTCCACCTTATTCAGACCTCTCTGTTAGAGAGTCGAAGCCTGGTCAGCACCTTGCCGTGTGCCAGCAACCAGTGCATGAGCAACCAAACCTCTGCATGAAAGCGTCTAAATCTTGAACTGTAACACGCACCCTTTGCCCGGGCACCTCTTTTGCAAGCTGCTTTTCGAGCTTCTGCCGTGCTTCCATCTCCTTAGTATTAGCCGGACCCCAGCTTTTTGCCAGCAGGCATCAACACGTAGATGGTAGATGTTAACACATCCGGAGGAACTGGATCCGTGGTAGAGTGTCCTACGGTAAGCCACAGATGCCCATAAAAATCTTGCATGTACATGAGAAACCCAAACGGCTATACTTTCTGCAGGTGATGCATCCATCTGCTTGCGCTCCTCTTCGACAGCACGCTTGTCGTTCAACTCCTTTAGCCTCGGGGACTCTTGCCGTGCTTTGGCCAATGTGCAGGTCTGAAAAATTGGTAAGATCATCCCGTGGCAGCCCCTGTATGATTGAGCCCTAAAATACGCTGAAACCTAAGTCCCTCAACCCTTGTCGCAAAGCCCTAAGCTCCTAAAGTTTAAAGTGCAGCATACAATCCTAAACCCTAAGGCCCCAAAATTTTAGGGCTGGGAGTTGTAGCTTGATGTGCTTCTCGGACGGGTGACCTAGGGCCCCCTTACCTTATCCCAAATACCTTATCCCAAATCCGTATATCCGAAGCCCAATGCCAGACCCCAAACCACCCGAACCGAAATGCTCCCCGGACCTAAACCCTAAGCACCCCTACCCGTAGCCCTAAGCACCGCTACTCTTAACCCTGAAATCCCTTATCCGACCCTAAACTACTCCCTGATCTTCCCCCGGAATGACTGGCCGAGGGTCTTCCGAGACTGTTCCCTCATCTTCTCCTCCTTGTCATTGGCCTGAACCAAGGAACCAAGATTTCAGGGCTCTGAGGGTTTATGCTTCGTGCTTTAGGGTCGGGGAGATTTGTTTTGCGGGCTTTGTTTCATTGGGTCTGCCTTACCCTTGAGGGCTTCACGGGGATTTAGAGGGGTTTCTATGCAGGACCTTGTGCGGATGTCTTGGAATGAAGGGTGCTGCATTGTAGACCTTGAAGTTTGTGCAAGCTGCCGCAATTGTTGAAGGGGCACATGCGGCGCATATGGACAAAGCTGGAAAATATTGTTTTAGGGTTTCCCCCACTCGCGCGCTCAATGCTGTTAAGCCCTTCTGACAACCCGTCAGCTACAGCTAGAACAGCTTCAACATGTAAACTGTAAACCAGCTGTGCCTCGCCCTGCAGCACCAGGTTGGCATGCTCCAACTGCTTGAGCTGATTGAGCTCGCACTGCAAGGCCTGGCGTTCGGGGTTTCGGCACTCGCTCTCATGCCTGGCGAGGTTCTTGGTGCTTGGTCGGCTGGAAGTGGAGCCTAGGTTTCAGGTTGCTCAACAACTTTTGCGATCGTCAAACAACCTCCTTGACTTCGGGGTTTAGGGATTTCAACAATAGTTATGACTACTTCAAGCTGTCATAGAGACTCTATCAAACCCTGACGAAGACGTTACAAATCCCGCGGATTTGGGTTTTGCAGCGCTTCAGTTGGAGTGATGCGGGGGCTTTAAGCACTGTTACAACAGTATTCTCAGGCTGAGGCGTTGCAAAGAACTCCAGACAGTTGGAACATACGAGAAAGATCACAACTGTAGTGCTGGACGTGCCCATGCTGTACCGTAAAAGGAGGATGATGGTCCAACTCTGCGGCTTCTACCTTACATGTATATGAGAGTAGTTAGCCCTTCTTGCTACTGGACTCACGTCTATGGCCAGACCACGGCCTGCAATCAAACCCTAAACTCAGCCGGAGGGACGGATTTCAGCCAGGCTCGCTCATTCTCTTGAGCACGCAGAAGCCTCGGATGCTCACCGACTTCCAAGGACAGCTGCAGGATCGGGTCTGAGTTTAATTTAAAGAGCCTATCTCAAAGGGCACTCCATACACTTGAGACTTGCTATTGTTCTTATAATAGGGCTGCGAAGTTGAGGGTCGTTCCGGGGCCTCACGAAGGATGTGCAGGTCAGCCTTTGCTTGCTGGTGCAGCAGATCCGGAAGCCTCAGCAGGCTCAGAACTCGCAAACAGTAACCCCTAATTAAACTTGAAGCCTCCCCGCCCCCCCACAACCGTAATTACTGCTTGGCCGCTTCTGCCGCTCCATCTTCAAGGTATCGCTGTTGAGTGCGAGGATGGCACCCTTCGTCATGCCGCTCTCCTGCTTGGAGGATCCGGCAGCTTCGGAAGGTGGAGGTGATGTAGGGGCCTCCGAAATAATAATTAGAATAGGGGTTTTGGGGCCCAGTTTTCGTACTTCCAACAAGGAATCCCCAAAATACTTTTGGTAATTAGTGAAGCCGCTTTTGGAGATATCTGGGAGTTCCGGAAACGTATCAGTTACGAGGAATCCTGTCTAGGTTCTAGGAAGGCTTACAGCACGCCACATCATACACGTCTTGTAGAAGTACAGGCAGTTGTGGAACGACCCATTTGGCTTCGCAGTTCGGGGTCAAACTCCTCATCTCCTCAGTGGCTGCTGCTGGATGAGGGTTCCCACTATATACTCTATTGAAACTTGATAGTTTACAAGTCAGTTGCAGTTCCAGTAAGGGTGAAGCACGAAGCCATGGTACTGTAGTTCCAGCATTCAACGTGCGAAATAATCACAACCACGTGGCAGCATGCATCTTAGGGCCCCACCAACTACATCAAATCGTGTGGGCAAGTGTGTAGGGCATGCTGCCGGAATAAATCCCTCATCCACGCTGTCTTCTGAAGCTATGACCTGCTACTGTCGACTGGATGGCATCGAATTTTGGTAGCTTGCTCGCCGATTATTTTCCCCTCGTGCGACCCGACTGCATCGAAGTCCGAGGATGTGTGGGTTACAACAAACCAGCCGTAGGGCTCCAGTTCCCTGTCCATACGAAGTATGATTAACACCATGATTCCGCATCTCTCTGTCGATCTATCTATCTCTATATGTATACATCTATATATGTACGTGTATACATACATGTATGTGTATAGATATATGTATGTACGTATGCATGTATGTATGTATGCTTGTTTGTTTGTGGGTGTGGACATAAGCACATCTGAGCAAGATCTACTTGGGAATCTGGAGCCCCCAGACCAGCTTATAGCAGATGCCGGAGAACCTTCGATCTGCTCAGAGGATCGGCGTGGTAAGTCTGATCTCTTCGATCTTAAGGTGGAAATTCCGCAGGTTGTTCACGATCTCCGTGGTGAAATCGCCCTGAGTGCCGGGAGCTACTTGCATAACCAAGGTTTGCAGAGGCGAGTAGCATGTCGAGCAGCCCGTGCCACCACAGTGGTCGGCAGGATAATCGAGAAAAGGACCTTGGGTAGTGTCCGTGATCTTCGTGCGACCGACGTAGACATCAAAAGTTGGGCCTCCTTGCCTGCCTGTGCAACCATAGCCCACAGTATACTGATACGTCATAGTAATGCTGCCCCCGGCTGGCATTTCAGGAATCCCCACCCAAACAGCCCACGTCTTCTCTCCCGGATTGCCGGATCGGATGTTCTCGACAGGTGCGCCCCACATCCCGGCATGGCCACCGCTGACGCTGACGTCCGCCAAGTCGTAGTGTGTGTAAACGGTCTCCGTAACTGTAGTTTCTGCCCGGTTTTGACAGCTACTTCCTGCAGCCATGCAGATGCCATTCACGGTGCCGCACTGCACATGCTCCGTAGGAACAACCTCGACAAAAGTGTCGTTGCATTTTTTCGGATCAAGCCCATCACATCTCCAGGGCCCTTGACCTCCGAAGCTGCCACAGCAATCGCCGCTCTTGCATGCGGCTGTGGTCGTCGTCGTGGTGGTCACCTGGTATGCAGAGAAGCGGGCCCAAACAAGAACTCGATTGTCTCCGGACCAATGACCCGAGGCGCTGCAGTCATCCTTCCCTCCGCCGCCGCAATGAGCAGCGTTCAAGCCGATGCCGGAGCTAATGTCGTTGTGACGAGCACTGGTGGGACATCCCCACCCATCACCGGCCATCATGCAGAACATGCAGGGCTTGCCACAACCGCTGATGTGCCAGCCCTTGTTCCGACAAACTGGCTTTGGGTCGGTGACGATCCGCCCTGCGCGAAAAAACGCAGGCGCTCGGTTCCGGTCACTACCAAAGGCCCTCCTCCAATTCCACCAATCGTGCCAATTTGGATGCTTCTTCAGCTTGACGCTGTTCTTGGTCATGAGGGTCTCCGGCGTGCCCTTGCCTGCAAACTCAATGACCGGCATCTCCCGAAACCCTGCCAGTCGGTTGGTCTGCAGCTTAATGGCATCCACGTGCTTCAACTTGTGAAAGGCAATGTGCTTTGCATCATAGGAGCGAATATTCGGCATGGTCGTATCGATCATCTTGTCTGGATTGAATGACTTCCCGTCGTTCCATCTCTTGGACCCATAGCAGAAGTCGTTCTTGCTAAGCTTCATGACCTCACTTTCGCAATACCCGAAAATCTACAAGTCTGGAGCTCCAACACAACCCCGACACACAAGAACCCCAGAGAGTTTAAAGGTCGGGCAGCGGAGATCTCAGTTACGATCTCCCAGCGCCTTGCCTAAGATACCATAATAGAAACATATCTTTTGCCATGCGCCGACCAGTCACGAGCACCCAGTGCTCATCGCCCATGTGTCGGAAGACCATCCGACCACACTTCGGGCAGTCTTTGGAAGCCACCGCCTCGAGAGTGTCGAGCTTGGCATCAAGACCTCGATTGATTACACGGTTTAGCTTTAGGAATTGAGGCTACGGGATTGCAATTCTATATCTGTATATGTATGTATGTATGTCCACAACATATTCTCTCTTATGCATACAGCAGTAACAGTAGCTGCAAGACATGCAAATACAAATCAAATTAACAAATGAATGCAAGTATAAACCAAACTACAATACGAACAAACGAACAAGCCAACACCAAAGCTGGAATAAACTAATGCATAAGCAAGTAGACAGCACATAAGCCAAACAAGCAAATACACACAAATCAATAAAGCAACAACTATGTATCTATATACCTCTCTGTCTATGTATATATACATACATACATACATATATATATATATATATACACATACATTCTAGGGCCTCTCGTGATCCCTAAACCGGTGAAAGATCCCTAACTCGGTTTCTGAGCAACTCTCCGCTTCGGTCAGCTCGACCTCTGCCAAGGAGTTCACGACCTTATCGTGACCATTTGCAGGGTCTAGAGGTACAGGGTTAGGGATTGTGGGGTTGGGATTTGGGACTTGGGGTTACGATTTCGTTTTACAGGACCGTTTCCTCCCGCCAGAGATCAGGGTGTAGGGCCTACAAGAGTTTAAGGCTCAAGGTTTCTAAGGGTTTCGGACTCAGGATTTTGGGCTTAGGATTTTAGGGTTCAGGGTCTATCTCAGTTCATTCGGCCATATCGAACGTTCAGGCTTTATTCGGGGATTACATGGGCTAAGGTTGCCAAGTTCAGCTTGAAACGAGGTTGTATGACCGAGAAATCAGACAGTCTACCGACCGAGCACCAAGCAACAGCAGATGCATGGTCGTAGTCGTCCAAAGCTCTCGAGACGTGAAGCAGGGTCTGGAAAAAGCATATGTAGGCCACTGAAATCATCTTTGGCTGACGAACTCGAACGAAGCTGTTCTCTCCACTGCCGTCATGTGCGGCGTGGGAGCTAGGCTTGAGCAGTAGTCATTCAAGGGGCGGGGTGTTTGGAAATCTGCCCCAGAGCTTAGCATGCAGCCTACTCTGCACTTCCGATCCGTTGCATGACCCCGTCCTGCGCCGCCAATTCCAGCTGATGCTTGGAGTTCTCCTGTGTGCATGCACAAAAAGAACGCAAGTTTAGAACAGCCCGCACCTGGCTTTCGCTTGCTCAAAGCTCCGAGTACGGTAAAGCATGGAGAATTGCAGCATGTTCCTCAATGTGGATCTTGTCCATCGTTACTTGCTACTTCCAGCACGATTCTGTCAGTGGTCAGCGGTCGTCTGCAGATCTGGAGACTGGAACTGAAGGGTGTGCGATTTTGGGGCCTCTGGGATTTGCTTAACCCAAGAATGCCAATTGAATTAAATGGCCATTAGTGGCTTGCTGCCGTTGTCCTCATTGCATAAGCTCTATCCATACAGAAAATATAGTACAGCATAGTATCCGGTGCATGCTAACTGGGCAATACTTAAGGTTGCCATCCCAAAACCGGAGTCCAGTACAAGGGCATTGAACTTGGGCAAACGATCATGTGTCTGAAATAGGAATGTAGATGGTTGTCACCGCGGCACAACTCTCTGGCGCTAACCACGCCAGAGACCAAACCTAAACGCTACTGGTAGGTAACCTTTTGCACAGACTTGTATATGCCCAACGCTCGGTAACCTAAACCGTATACCCTCACCAAGGGTCGGTGGAGTCTAGTCGAGTCAAACCCCTGCATCCCAATAGAACTCTACAAATGCAACTCAGCATTCGTAACCTTCTGGTGATGTTGGAGCACCAGAAGCCCCCCGTGCAACCGCGTTACAACGCTTCTTGGAAAGCGGTCTTATCCTTAACCGTTAACTGCAAAGCAATTCATCCTAAAACTAGACCCCTTTCATGCGCTATAACGGCCTTTCAACCCCTGTGCGAAACATCGAAAACCAAAACACAGGGTTCGAAGCCCATGACGCCGTTACAAAGCCTTCCGAAACCCCAGTTCAAGATCGAGATCATCCCATCCTTGTCCCGGTGCTCATCTGCGAGTATGGAATCCTGGGTTGAATCGTTGAGGGTTTTTTGGGGCCTCGGTTTAAGGCTTCATGCTGCGGGTGTGTGGGCTTAACAAGGGCTTGTAGGTGTTCCGGTTCCTCAAACGTGAAATGCTCAGTCGTTGCGACAGGTCATGACAAAAAAAACTCACAAAACGCTGGCAAAGAGTGTGAGGCATGAAAACCCACTGCATCGATCCTGGAACCTCCGTGGCTTCGACTCTTTTGCAGCTGGGCTCTTAGTGTCGGCCAGCGAGTCCGCCCACGCTCTGAAGCTCAGTTCTGCTGACTACAACCAAAACCCCAGAACCCACACCCGAAATCCCCCCAAACCCCAAAAGCCCCCCCACCTTGCCTTTGCGTCCGAATAAACCTTGGAGTCTTGCCATGAAGCCCTGTAAGAACCGTACAAGAGTGTGGAACCCTTTGAAGCCGTCATATGCTCAAAAAGCACTTGAGACCGTTGTGCTTCTTGGACTGTCTGACTCGTACATACATAGCTCTTAGGCTAGTAGAACCTTTAAAAGCCCGAAAGAGCTTCTTAGTCCCTTGTAATACCTTGGCCAAAAGGGGGCCCCGAAGAGCCCTAAACCTTGAACCCGAAAAAACATTTGCATGCAAAACCTGAACCCTAAGCACTTAAAACCCTCACACACCAAACCCGAAAGCCGATAACAACAAGAGCCGAAAGTGGATCTCAAGACTTCAGACCTCCTTTCTTTTTGGGGTTTCCGAGTGTCTCTCGCCCTCCTTGCTGCTGCAAGGAGGTCGCGGCGCTTGGCCTCGAAGAAGTCATACCTTCAAAGGGGGGCAACAAGATCTCTATATGTTATATTTACATACACAGTTTGTATAAGTTTGTTATGGAATTGCACAAGGGTTCCATTAAAACAAAAGGAGCAAAAACCTAGTCATTCGGTCGTTTGGTGACCTTGAAACGGTCTTCGCAGGCTACTTCAAGATTGGGTACGTAAACATTGACTTTCAAACGACCGAGTCTATCGAGACAGTGCTTTGTAATTTGGCTGATGTATTGCAACATGGTGGCTGTCATACATCACGGTCTGTCATGTTTTCGTTTCTCTGACTCACACTCTCACTCTCTGCGTCTTCCGAACCCATCAAAACTGGACTGCCGCGCGACGGACACGAAGATAGATTCTCATTGCCACGGTGAACCTAAAGGACCCAAAAGTATCTAAGAGGGATGAAACCAACTTCTACAAAGCCTGACTGCGGCGACACACCCCACAAAACAGTGGGTGATGATGCGGGCCCCCTAAGTGCGGGCTATACTGTGGCTATACTATAACCTTCCGATAACGTCAGTAATCGCTCTGAGATCCCCCAAAGCCTTTCCGAAGAAGCAACAAAAAGGGAGCCACGCCTGAGTTTCACGAGCCGAGGTGAAAGGTTCCTTTCCTGTGCACTCAGTGACGGGGTCAGGGTTCAGAGATTCCTGAATAAGGTCATCAGGCTTGCTTTGTCTTTTAGGTCCTGCATAACTTACGACCTTGATGTGGGTCCCCACGCTTGATCCTCAAGGCGGGCCTGATTTTTAGGGGATGTACTTATTTAGATCCTTTCAGTCAGGGGTCCAGGAAACGACAGTTGGAGAAGCGAGCATAAGCCTTAGTGCCTATGGCTTCCAGCTTCGCATACAGCTTGCTGGGCTTCATACTGTGTCCACAGACCTGTCGGTAGTTATGTGAAGCCTTTTTAGAAGGCTCAGCGGGCCGCCTCGAAACTCAAAACCCTACAACCTATCGCAGCACCTTAGCAGCCTCTGAAACCGGAACGACTTGACCCTAAGGCAAACACCCCAACGCTCTTCCTGAGCCTGCGGTACCCTACTTTGTCCAAAGGGTCCCGACACGAAGCTTGGCATGAGGTGTTAACTCTAAACCCCACCCAAAAAAACAGTCATCGGCCCTTAACGACTTCAGTCCTGGAATGCTTCGACCTGAGCGGGAAGCGGGTTCAGAGCCAGTGCCTAAAGTCTAGGCCGTGCAAACCATGGAGCATGGCGACACTAGGAGGCTAGGCTGGGGCAGGGGGTTAGGCTTCTGATCAATCAGAACTGTAATACTGTATCTGTGTTGCGCCGTCTTTCTCTGAATAACGCCGAATCAACCTGAACTGTTGCACCGTCTTTCTCTGGTTAACTGAACTATGATAGTAACAAGCGATACAACGGCATTGATAATACTAGTTATCATAGTATGCAACAGTTGTAGAATGTAATAGCAATCGTGGAGGTAGTAATAACAACTTCACAGCAGACGATCTTACTGCGGCAAAGTGCCGACTTGGTGCCATGGTCACCGACTCAAACATCAGTAGGGTCTGGGGTCTACTTGTTACCGTGTTGGTTCTCTCTTTCCGAATGTGACGCCCTGAAGCGGTGGTAGCAGCACCATCATCCGGGAAAATATCATAGAACCCATTAGCACCTCCAGCCCCGGAAATCGTGAAGCCAACTTCTGAAATGACCAAAACACTGAATCTTTGAATTCTGTAAGCCCCAAACGGGCCCCAACAGATTAGGAGGACTTGGACGGGAAAGCTGTAAAACCCGATCATCCAACTGGTTGCAAAGTTATAATATTATGGTTATGTCATATACTACCGTCTAGCTCTATAGCGACCATAGGTTTTAAACGAGCGATAAACCTCCTCCCAAAATACAGCGATGCGAGGAAGATTCGCTAGCAGCATGACGATGCTCCAGTTCACTGCGATTCTTAATCAACCTAAGATTCAGTCAACGCAACCCTCAGCCTGAAAAATTCAAAGCAGGAGGAGGAAGCGGGAACGACTAGACTGCAGTCCGCTTGGGCTTTATGCCACAACTCTATGCGGGAACCTGCTATTTCTAGTCCAGCAAACTCTGTTGCATGTGAGCAAGAACCAAATCCGAAAGGTCTCATTGAAGGAAGCGACGGGCTTGAAGATCAGCTCTTGCGGGAGTACGCCCTCTTGTCTGCAGGCCTGGCTCTTTTGGCGGATTCGGATTTGAAGCATGATGGAGGGTGCAATAGGTTTTGAAGGATCAAGTCTTTCGAGCGTTCTGAATGGAATTTACTCCCCAAGCTGCCGAACTCCACCGACCCGAGACTCAACCCAAAGGCCCTAACAGTTAGAGGACACCCCTCGAAGACTGCTTGGACGAGCGCTTGGGGCTTCCAACGAGACATTCCCAGACGATGGCTCCAAAAATGCGCAATCAGGTACGTGTTCTCTTGCGACGATTGAAGTGTTGCTGATGGATACTGCTGCTGATGATGATCATGACAACGGCTGGAGGCATTCGGACACAGAATTCTCCAGAGCTTCTTAACAGGGCTTAAGGTAGTCTGCCCCCTACCTAGGGCGAGCCAGGGCTCAGGAGTCAAGGATTCGGGTTTAAGGTTTGTAGCCAATTCAAGAGCTCGTTGAAGCTTTGCAGGTCGAGGACTGCTATATGCTTCCCCACCGATAGTAATTATGCGGGATAAAGCAAATTTTCACAAGAATGCCCTTAGAATACGCCCTTGCATTCCGGTATATACTCCTATGGAGGGCTCGAGTCGCCCATTGAGGAATCTCGGTAGCCCCAGTACCGCATGCCATGGCCGCGTAGCGGAAGGCGGTACGTCATGAGCCTGGAGAGCAGCCAACTACCCAGCAACCTGCGGAGTTTGACGTTTGGCTTGCGTTCTACCGGAGCATAGAGAGCAGCCAACTACCCAGCAACGTGCGGAGTTTGACGTCTGGCTATGCGTTTAACCGGAGCCTGGAGAGCAGCCAACTGCCCAGCAACCTGCGGAGTTTGACGTTTGGCTATGCGTTCTATCGGAGCATGGAGAGGAGCCAACTACCCAGCAACCTGCGGTGTTTGACGTCTGGCTATGCGTTTAACCGGAGCCTGGAGAGCAGCCAACTGCCCAGCAACCTGCGGAGTTTGACGTTTGGCTATGCGTTCTATCGGAGCATGGAGAGGAGCCAACTACCCAGCAACCTGCGGTGTTTGACGTCTGGCTTTGCGTTTAACCGGTGCCTGGAGAGCAGCCAACTACCCAGCAACCTGGGAAGTTTGACGTCTGGCTATGCGTTCAACCAGAGCCTGAAGAGCAGCCAACTACGCAGCAGCCTGCGGAGTTTGACGTTTGGCTATGCGTTCAACCGGAGCGGCCTGCGGAGTTTGACGTCCGGCTACGCGTTCTACCGGAGCCTGGAAAGCAGCCAGCTACGCAGCAGCCTTCTGAGTTTGACGTTTGGCTACGCGTTCAACCGGAGCCTGGAGAGCAGCCAACTACGCAGCAACCTTCGGAGTTTGACGTTTGGCTATGTGTTCTACCGGAGCCTGGAGAGCAGCCAGCTACGCAGCAGCCTTCAGAGTTTGACGTTTGGCTATGCGTTCAACCCGCGCATCCACTTCATGTTGATGTCTTATGCCTCGGTCTTCACGGCTGCGAAGGCTTACCTTGAGCACCAGTGGGGAATACTGCTGAGCCGATTGCCGGATTGCCCCCTGAGTAGCTTGAACTTGCTGGAACGTAAGAGTGCTCGACATATGTATGTGTATATACGAAGCAAGTTGGCAATTCTCACCTGCCAACTAGTTGGCCGTGTGACCCTCCTCAGATGTGACATTACACCTTTCGGCTCTGCTTTTTCGATGTGCACACGCTGTCACTGCACATTTGGGAATGCTTGAGTGGGCACAGTTCTTTTGAAGTGTGGGGCATGTTAGCTTTGTTCTTGCCTCTCCCAGCCCCTGGAGGAATGCTCAAAGCTGGACCGCAGGGAAGTCTGATGATCAGCTCTCCCTGTTGTCGTCTGTAGGTTTGTTGCTGGCTTCGTGGTCGTTCATGGGCCAGCTGTTGTTGTTGTCACGCTTTTGGAGGGTCCACGCTCCCGAGCCTGGTTGCGTGTGTCAGTGCTTTCAAATGAGAGGCGCTCGGATTGGCCAGACAGCTTTTAGCCCTGGAAGTGGCTGCTGGGTTCATCTGGCGATCCCTTTTTCGATTTTGCCTCTCATCGCAGATTTCTGCGCCACGGGCCCTTAAGGACTGTGAGTGCATACTGCTTTCCAATCTAATTAGGTGCTTGTTGAATTTGATGCGAGAGGCGCGTCCTCTGGACCCATGCCTACCCAGAAAGAAAGAAATACTCCTATGGCCCAGGCCGCATTATATACTTACTTATGCTTCAGAGGTCCGAAGCTTCACAGCGCTCGAGTCCTGAGCTTAGTTTGAAGACTTGCCCCACCTAACACCCCAAACCCCCTAAGACCCACTAATCTCGAAGCCTGCTCCCTAAGACCCCAAATCGCTAAGCTGCTACGCCTGAAACACTGCACCCTGCGTCGAAGCTCGGGGTGCCTGCAGTGACCTGGGAGAGTCGATCACTGCCTGCAGAAAAAACGGGATTTACGGGGTTTCAGGGGTCGAGAGTCGAGGGGTTGAGGCATCTGCTTGAACTCGTGGGTGGGCAGAGGTCGGGTATTGATACAAAAGAAGACACGACACTGGCAAAAAGAGGCCACTGTCCCTTTACAACAGACTACTGTAGAAGTCTTCACTTCATAATCGTAACCGTCAGTGCCGGAGCAACGGCACAATGTACAAGACTCACGGCAAAATCCACGGTAGAAAACATAGTCCCCGAAGCAAAAGAGACCCTAAGGCATAAATCCTGGGGTTAGCGTTTAGGGACCCTAAGATGAATCCAGAACCGCAAATCCTAAATCGCATGAGAAGTGGACAGCCCGCGATATCGACCTTGTTGTAGACCTTCCAAAACAAGCTGACTGCACAACTTCGCGATCTCAACTGTTGGCGTTGGGGCTTGGGCTGACCATGTGCGAGTTGGCAAATAATGGTAAACCAAACAACGAAACCTAAATGGCAGGATCCTGAAGGACGCCCCCAACCATTCCCATTGTTGCTTCAAGCAAGGCCCACATGCTGGAAACTTGCAGGTCAGAGTCTTCTGACAAGCTACAGTTCGTCTTACCAGAAACTACAATATCCATTCATCGGGATTCCTGGATTTGGGTTCGTTTGGGTGAGCACCCCCGACAGAGCAGCGGCCTTTGGATTCGTCTCGTCGTAGTTTGCCAGGGACTTCATGGTCACGCCCTCCTCCCCTCGCTAATCCCACCCCCAAAAATTGTGAGCCTGCGGTGCAATTCAGAGATTGAGAGTGTTGGACCTCTACGTTCGAGATCCTGAATCCGCTGTCTGCTCTGGTGTTTTAGTCAAACGAACATCAAGACTGCTGTGTGGAAAACATCAACAACGTCGTCATCATCACCATCACCGCTGCGAGCATGGTACTGCTGTGTTGTCTCGAAGCGTTGCTTATGCAAGTGCAACACGCAGCACGGCAGGCGTCAAAGGATTGCAACAATTTTCTTGCGAGACCCATCAGAGGGGGAGCAACTTTTCAAGCTTACGGTGCACGCAGGTGGGGGGAAGCAGTAACTCCCTCCTGCAGTGCATGAAGAACTATGTTAAACAAGACACGCATGCGGTCTTCGAGATGAAACACTCCTGGGCCTCACAGCTCGAGTTGCACGGCTTCCCCCGTCCACATCCACACCAACCACGTCAACTTGCACGTTCAACGCCCCTTTTTGCACGCAGTTCCTATGTCGCCTGTGAGGCGAGACCGGATGGCGCCTGGCATAGACTCCAACTTAAAATCCTGGTGAGAATCATGAACATGAGCTCTGGATTTAAGGCTTTATGATCAGCGTTTTGGACAACTTTGAGGCTTCGGAAGGTCCCAGGCTCAGTGAGCCGTAGTAAAGGCTTAGGGCTCAAGAGCTAGTGGTCATTTCCGAGCCTTCACTTTCACAATGGGATTTGCCAGTATGTCGCAGTCTAGTTTCTAGTTGTCCAGTGAGCACAGGTATGGTCCAGGAGTATAGGAACAATTTTTGCCACCCGCCCAGCTGAACAAAGGCGGTTTGCAGTGAACTCGTCTGAACGACTCTACTATATAGGGAGGCAGTATTGCAAAGTGTTCAGAGCTCCTTATCAAGCTTCCGTTTGAGGTCTGGAACTGATTCTCACGGAGCTTAGTGTCTGCATGTCGGCGACGACCAGTTCCGCCGCCAAAGATCTGCACATTGGTATAGCGCACCCAAACCCATACCCACCCTGGCCCCACACCCTTCCACGACTACAAGCCCTAAGCTGCAAACGTCTGGTTCAACACCACGAAACCCTGCAACTCGAAAACCCCGATCCCGAACCGGGCCTTGGGTTTGGGATTCACAGTATCAGTTTTCAGGCTCAGCTGTAATGGTTTAGGGCTTCGGCTTTTGGAGTTAAAAAAACACGGAAGCCCAAACACCCTCAAGCCAAAGAAGCCCCAAAGAATCAACGGCCTTAGCCCAAGATGGCTTTCGCCTCCTCCAGAGCCTCTCAGAGGAGAACAGCAACGCCCGACTGGGTAGAGCTCAGAGTCCAAGGCTACAAAGGTTCCGTGCCACAAGTACGTTTTGAGCATTTTTTGCCACCCGCTCAGCTCACGCTTCAGGCTTTACAAAGCTTCCGGGGTTTTGTGACGGGTTTTTTGTCACTCGTGCTCGACAAGTCAGACGAGGGTTAGGAGGGCTATAACGGGTTACAGACCAACACAAAATCTGAAAATACTGGTCTTTAATTTAACCTGCGGCAGAACTACTACATGCTACATACAACATACTACATACTACTAACTACTAGACATGCCAGATGCCCGGATGGTCGCACAGATTTGAGGCCTCCCAGTAGATGCCTTACCCTAAGACTTGGCTTCTCATTGCTTGTCCAGGGCTTTGGACTTTCAGGCTTATGGAAGCTTACAATTTTAAAACTGCGGAGAAGGCTTCATCTTGGGCCCCTGGCCAAACGGTTTCCCTATTTGTCATGTCCTTCCTCAAAAAACTTGCATCAGCCGCTTGTACTCAAGTGCAGAACGCTTTGTGCGTGTGTGTGTGTGTGTGTGCGTGTGGGTGTGTGGGTGTGTGTGTGTGTGTTATTTTTGGCTTCGTTTCCGTCCTGCAGTTTCGGTGAGGGTTTTCTGTTTCTTGGAGTCAGCCAGAGAACTTTGCACGAACTGCGGGAACCTTCGTGCTGAACGATTTCCGCATTAGTCAGCGGCCGGCAGAAATGAGGAGAGTGCATGTTCCTTCGCCACGCGACAGATGTCCTCGTCGTCGTCGTAGTGGCAGTCGCAGTGGCAGTGGGAGTAGCAGTTCTGGTAGCATGGAATTACTTTTATTCTTCATGAAGTTATAACTTTTAGTATATAAGCATAGTTACTATTACTAGTCAGTAGTAGTAGTACCAGCAGTAGTAGCAGCAGGAGCAGTAGCAGCAGGAGCAGCAGCAGCAGTAATTAGCTAAACCCCATTTTACTTAAAGCCTCAGAGATATGCCCGCAAGCCGTAAATTCAAAAAAAACCTACAGCCCGTCAAGAACCTTCATACCTTTCATCTAAAACTTTTCTCTGGGATCTGTGGTTATGAAGGACTCGTGCAGTTCCAAGCGCCTAAACCCGATCAAACCCAAAGACCTTCAGCCGGCCTTAATCTCCTGGCCACGTGCCTCTTGTCGCACTGCGAAATTGTCAACGACCTGGGCAGCAGCAGATATTCCAGAATTCGTGTAAGCACGGATGGAGAGTAGGGTTGAAGCTTTACTGAAAAGCGATGCAAGTGCGGGGCCATTAACAATTTTTGGAGAGACAGGGTTCCGAGTAGGGTTCTGAGGCAGCAAGGGTGCTGAAAACCGCAGAGCTTGGGATGGACGTGAACTTCGTGCGAAACAGCTTCGCCAGATTGAAGGGCTATTTGTAGGCCTAGTGTGGCCCTGAACCCAAAATCCCCTAAGCAGCCGTGGGGGAAAAGCTTAGGACAGGATGCAGGAAGGGTTTCGGTATCTGCACATTGAAGCACACTGCATGTCGCGGCTACAGCATGCCGTTTCGGGAAGACGGCGCATCCTCTCAAAGGAAACAAGAACCGGCTCCAGCAGGGATATCGAACTTGCCTCCGGTACTTCAGGGCCTAGCATGATCCCAGCTTTGGGCACCCCCCCTTTCCGGGGCAGCCGGCAAAGTCGCAGGATTTGTGGATGGCGTCTTTGGAATCGGAGAGACTTTCCAACTCATCCTGCAACGACTCTGCTGGGGGTTGGGTCTACTTGTGGTCTGGCGGTCAATCTGGTCATGCAATCCTCTCAATGATTTTGATTCAGTTTTCATCGACAATTGCTGTACCACCCAGAAACAGGTGGATAGGATGGGTCCATGTGGGGCATTGGCAGACTCTGTGGGTGGGATAGTACACGGTCATTTGCTGACAATTGGGTCTGTGCTGCCACTTAGCATTCGGGCACTCGTGTAGTCGAGGCGAGGGCATGTATACCCAGGACTACGCCACATGTCCATGCTTTGTGCTTAGTTTAGCCAGCACTTGGTAAGGAGCTGCGTATCGAAGTGCGTTCAACTCAAGACATCTGCATTCTTCGTTCTTGCCTGATGAAGCAGTTGAGTGTGCAAGATTCGCGGTACGCGGGGCCTGCAACTACTGTTTTTGAACGGCGTGCCTATAAGGCGATGTTGTGCCCATCGCTATACTGCTCTGGGTAATTGGTGCTAAATCTACGGAAATGTGGGCGTGTAACAAATCCACAAGCCAAAACTGCCCGCGCTGGTTCTCGAAGAGCCTTACGCCTGAATGTCTTTGGTTGAACGTTCGAGGCTGAATGCAACGTTGACCCAGAATTTCGCATCTCTTGCTTGGACCATAAAGACAAGGGGTCATACCCTAGTTGGGAGTTTCCGAAAAGAGGGCACCCTAAATAGTGGGATCCTTATTATAAGGGCCCCAAAATAAGGTATATACCCCCAACTTTCGGAAACTCCCAGTTTCTTGTAGGGTTGGGGATGCACGTGTGCCCGAAGCCCGAAAGCCCTAACAGTCAGGCCTTGGTCAAACGAAGCGTCTGTTTGGCCTCCGCCCTGGGCATCGGCTTCTGTTTTCAAGCTTAGGGCTTTAAGGCTTGAGGGCTTAAGGTGGTAGGGGTTTAACCGTTAACGAGCTTCCAAAACCAATATTCAACCCCACAAATTCCAAGAAAGCCTTCCTGAAAGTCCCATAAAGAATCCAGGGTGGGCTCGAAATGCTGCGGGCCGACTTTTCCTGGCTGACACCATTCGTGTCTGCTGGTCTGACCCTTCATTCGTATGTTCCCGGAGACACCACTGTTACTCGTGTTGTGATTTTTAGAAGGGCTGTGTCTACAACCTAAACCAAAGAGGTTCACGTCTCAGACGATGTTGGAGGTTCAACAAAGTGAACCCACTCCCTGACGGACAAACCCAGTCTCCATGAGGACCTCAGGAAATGAGATTACGACCCTGCAATCCGATCATTGAGGAGGGGAGTCGGAGTACAACACTGGGTTCCACCTTGGAGTGGCTGTGTACCTTCTGCTAAACTGAGATGTAAGGACTGTGCAACTCGGTGGCGAAGTGTAGTACTAGATAGCTGTCAAACGTATGCTGAAGCTCGAGACACGGGGCCTTCGAGGAAACAATATCGGAGGCTTCGAGCGAAGAAAAGATGGATCAGCCGATCATGCTAGAAAAGAAGCCGCCCAAACATCGGGGCTGTTTGCACCCAAGCTAGTTAAAGAATCGCAACCAAATGTTGGTAGCCTTCAACCCTTAGCCCGACACCTATGATGATGTCGGGCTGCAGAATCCGCAGATCCCAGCTTTTCACCGTGAAGATAAACCCTATAAGCCCTAAACCTTGCTCAACTCCGCCACAACATGAGTCAAGAGGCAAGTCAGCTTCCAAGTCAGCCTTGTGAATAGCCTTGTTGTTCGTCTCCTTTGCAAAGGCCGTACAGACTTCAACGCGCTCGAAATATTTGTATAGTACGGTATCATATACCCTCAAAAACCCTGAGCCGTGCCCTAATCAGCAGTTCTTTCAGTCACCGGAAGGGAAGGAGTCTTGAATCTTCGCGGTTGCGTTCGAAGTTTGAGCTAGCCACCGAAAGGGGCACTCATAATCATACTTTATCTTGCCAACTTCCCATCCTAGACAGTGCTTCGGGAGTTTCGGGCTACGTCCGCATGCAGACTCGCACGCGGTTGTACAGCTTCTTGCGGGGTTTCGACGCAGGTCGATGTACACCTGAAGACTAGCTCTAAGCCGAGATGTGGAACTCTTGCAAGCCGTGGACCCACCCCGACCTGCCTGAAACGCCAACCAAAGTCCAAGGCCCCCCTCCAAAAAAAACCGAACACCCGAAAGAAGTGGTTGTCCGGCCTCTGTCGCGCTGCGCATCTCGGCCTTGGTCTCATCCGACAGCTTCTCGAAGGCAATACGGGAATCCTGCTGCGGCAGCGAATCCCTATACATAACAGCATCCTCCACGTTCTTCCGAATGTATGTACAAGTATATGATAGCCGATAGGTCGGGCATAGGGATAGCGGCTGAAGGCTGCTTTGAGAAATCTCGATTGGGTCATGGGCCTTCTGAGCAGTATATGGTGCTCCGTCACAGTGAGGCCCTAGGTATATAGCCCTTTACGCTTGCTTAGTTCCGTTTCCGTGCAAAGCCAGAACATGGCGGCTGTTCCACATCCCGGGTCAGAAGTCTATTGCCAGGCCTTACAATGTTCGACCGACACCGCGACACCGCCAAGGCCTAGTGACGGAAGAACCCCGCACCAGCAGAATCTTTCGGCCCACCATAACGTAGTGTAACAGTGGGATGAAATGCAGAATTATCGTAATTATCGAAGATGTAGTCCAGCATCGACCAGCTCTGCGCAATATCTCATTTGAAGTCTGCCGCAGTGAGATTCTAAGTCGTAGATGTTATCATTGAACGGCTGAATCTAAACCGGACTGCAAATTACGGCAACTGCCAAAATTTTACACAATTTTTGAACCTCGACACCTCTCAACTCTAACACCAAAACCTCTTAACTTAACCTCCCAGCTCTGGAAAAAACCTAAACCCACAGAGATAGCGAGCCATCGGTTGAAGCTCACCCGAACTCTTTTGAGACCCAATGCCTCACAGCGCTGCAAGGCGGTCCTCATCGGCCTGCTTCGCTTCCTTCTCGAGGGTGGCAGAGCTGTCACTCACCTCGCGAATCAGCGCCATCACCTGGAGCATGCAGGTTTGGGCCTTTAGGAGATGGTATCTCAAACTTAAACCTCGTCTTTCAGCCCGAACGTGTTCCAGAGCAGATCCGCAAGTGACATCTTCCTTGACGGCCTCCAAGGGTGGTAGTGAAGCTCGGCACGATTCCTATCACTAGATACGGACCTGGATCTCGGATTGCGGCTACATACGATCGAAGCCCTAATAGTTCAAGGAGCTGGGGGAATGGCGTCATTTCAAGTCAACTATGCACGCACTGCAGTGGGTCGTGCTAAGTTCACTGTTGATGCTGATACCACACCCCAATGCTCGATTCGTCCCACATGAAGTCCCTGGCCTTTTCAGCCCCCATCTGGTGACTTTCGAGTATACTACCATCAACTGTCTCCAACACCCCTAAGCACTTCACCCGACTTCCGGCGTGCCTTCTCACCCCCTGCATTGTTTTTGTACTGCTGGAAGTCCTCTGGCTTGGGATCCGCCTCGTGCCGTCGCACCTGCAGAAACCACATTCGGACGCCCGTTGAAACATGCAAAGCTCTGGTCCATAATATGCAGCAAGTCACTGCTATGTTCGCACAAATCCCCTGTCCAGTCTTCTTACGCCACTACGGTTGATTGCAGCCTGTCCCGGGCAAATTCGATGGCTGGGCGAAGTCCCATGAGTCCCGAACCCCTCACTATCAGTCAGAGCATGAACCCAAAGCCCTTCCCCCCCCCACCCGACCCATGTCGAGACAAAATGCAAACCCAAAGCGGAAATCAGCCACGTCAACCCGAAGTCAGCAATCACCCAGACCCTCAAGACCACCAAAATCTTACCAAAATCAAACCAAACTTGAACGAATAATAATGAACGCCCCCTCCTCGACCCTAAAAGGAAACGTTGCCGTGCTTGCCTGAACCAGAGCGGGCTTAGCGTAGAAGGCTTGCAAAGCCTCAAGAGCCTGGCAAGCTCTGATGTGACTCAGTCATTTGAATTCCAGGCCTATGTTCAACCCAAAGCCAGACATGTAGGCCTTTTTCAATGCAAGTCACCGGTGATCGGTGCAACCTCCAGACCTAGATCCTGAATCTACACATCCATCGTCGTTTTCTCCGCACGGTTGCCTCGCCCAGCAGCTTCTGAGTGTGCTGCTGCTCGGCCACGGTGTCCGCAAACTCGCCTCGGCATTCCGGACACCCGCATCAGGGCTTAAGGATGAGGGTCTGGGAATGAGAGGCTCAGTTGGGGCGAAACAGGGGTTCGGCAGATGTTCGACGGCACCCATACAACTCAAAGTGAGCCCTCTGCCGCGATTCAACGTTGGATCCGGGTCTGCTATGCTGCGAGTCACAGGCTCAGGAATAGGCCAGGTGTGGCATCGTGCCACTCACCATGCAACCCAGGCTACTCGCTGACAACAGCACCCTACCATGTCAGCGGAAACTCCACTGCCCGTACCCCATACACCAAATTTGAATCCCAAGCCGGGCCCTCAAACCCGAAAAATAACAGTGCACACCCGAAGCCAGAAATGCTACAACAAAAACGAAAGAAACTCTGAAACCAACGGTCGTTGGCATATGCTACACCGTCATTCCTCCTCTTCCTCCGCAGGACCCGTTCCGGGGCTCAGGACCCATTGACAAGCTTCTCGAAGCTAGGATTTCACAAGGGCTTAGAGCAAATAGGCTGCTCTGTTTGTGGCTTCCGGGTCTGGTGTCTGAGGTTGTTTTAGGGAACATTATGCCGAAGCTCCAAATATCAACCATGCTGTTCCCGCAGAATTCCACAAGGCCAGATCTCAGCTAGTGGTCAGTCTGCGGAATTAAAACTCGACCTGGAATCTGCAACGTCTCGGAATCAGGCCCATCTCTTTCTCACGGTTTTCTTTTGCAGCCTGGCTCCAGGCATGTGCACTCTACGATCCCTATGGTGCACTCTCCGGGATACTGTGAGGAGGATTTCCACATTGTACTGGAATCTCGCTCTGCCGTGCAGTCTTCGCAATGCGGAATCCAAATGAGAACCGGCAGGTTTCAGAAGGATGCAAGACACGGAGTTTTGGGCGATCGCTGAGGGGTGTGCTTGCGTTCAGGCGGTTGCAAGAATCGAAACCTTCTCCATACCGCACGGGCGCATTAGGAGATGCCGTTACCTATTCCGGATTGCCTGTAGTATCTGTTGATTTAAACTTGCTAGGACCTTATGATGAGTAGCCTAAACAGGCAGCAAAGTTTCAAAATCACCCTTGCATCGAGGTGGCGCAACTCTGCGGGAATACGGCACTGCTAACCGAAACTCGCCTGCCAATCCTTTGAGGCAGGTTTCGAGGTTCGGGGTGTAGGGTTAAGGGCTGATCCGCCAACAGAGCTCTGCAAAAATGCAGAACACCAGGAGTAGCCACCGACCTGCAACTGCTTTGCCATCTCCTCAGAGTCCTCTCCAGCAACGAAGCATAGCCTTCAAAACTTAAGGTGTTCAGTTCAAGCATTCAGTCCAAAAGCGCTGAACCCTAACGCCTTTAAGCATCTAGGTTCAAGTCCTGGTGGAATTGTTAGGGTCAATTAGGGGTTTCCAGGGTTTGGGCGAATCCCAGACTCGTCTTCGCGAAAATCGACACCTCAGCCAAACACAGGGAGCATGATAGATATGCCTCTCAAGCACAAAACACAAACAACATCTCTTAAAACAAAACTCGACGCCTACTGCACTGAAACATGAACAGTAACACCCAGAAGAGGATCTGCCTAAGCCCTAAACGCCTTTTTGGCCTCCCGCCTTTAGGTTCCAGGCTTGTCAGCTTTGGACATCCAACCGGTGAGTCGATAGCTGCCCCAGGGTTTCGGCTTTCCGGGTAAAGGGCTTAGGGACGTAATTTTAGGTTTAGCTTGAGGAGTTTATATGCTTGATATGAAAGACCAGCAGTTTTATGCTGCTTTAGCCGCGGAAGACAGTACTCACAATACGTTAATCTCATAGTGGTGTAGTACTAGGATCGTAAACATTGCGGCGAGTACTAATATCGCAGTATCGCATATCATGCTAGGATTTTGGCTAGTCTGAACGAGAAAGACACCCAGCCAGTAGATCATGGAGTACCACGGCTTGCAACGACTAACACCGCGACTTCGCATGTTCTCGTGTATTGCCATGACATAAGTACTCGCCCTAGAAAGAGGCCGAGTTCAAACGCCATAGCTACGCAGTTCCTCAGATGACTTGAAAGAGCGCCCAAAGTTTTGTGGGATTTTCGGTGTTGCTCTCGCAGAACGAAAAGTCCTCCTTGAGCTTGGTGATAGCCTCCACTGTGGTTGTGATGTCGGACTGCAGCTGACCTTGGAGGTCTTGTGCGGTGAGCAGAACACGTTAATTTAATGTCCCATGCGCGCTCCCTTGCTTCTTCGGGGATTAAAGCTGTGTGTTAGGGTTCATGGAGGGTAGAACCCACAGCAAGGCCTCACGCTTGACCTGCTATTCCTCGTCTAGGACCTGAGCTAAACACTCCGAAAGTCTAAAAACCCTTGTGGAGCTCTGAAGAACTCTACAGTGCAGAACTTAGCTACCAAGGCACTAATCTTTCCTTTCGTGGATCCTTGTAGCTCTGTCTTCTTGTCAGTAGAATCCTTGTTGTCCGAAAAGTCCTGCTACAGCTTTTTTCTTGGCTCAGGGTTTCGTTGGCTGGAGTCAGGGCTTAGGGGTTTGAGGGTGAAGTTTCGAGTTTTCGGTTTGAGGTGTCAAGCTTCTTCTGAGTTCAAGAACTTTCGGGTCTTCAGAGTGTAAGGGGCTAAGATTTGACGCTTACACTCGGACACATCCAGGCAAGGTCTGAAGCCGAAAATAGGTGATCTCTCTCGTTGGCAAGTTTGCAAGGAGCCGAAGTAGAAGAAGGTCCCAAGAGCTGTTGATATCCGAATCAGAGCCTAGGCCCCCAAGCTCGGAACCCTGAACCCTGTCCTTCTGGCATCCCTCGTGCTCCTTCACCTCATCCTTCTGCTGCTGCGTCAGGCTGCGAACCATGCCCTGCGATCTCGAAGGAAGTCTCTGGGGCTTCAAACCCAGGGAATGACATATTCTGTTTATGCAATGACTGCGAAATTGACCAGCCTGGCTTATTCATCTGTATCCCATATTACTTGGTCTGTGGCATAAGCCTGGGCTTTTGCCTTCACCCCGACGTGTCAAACATCTTATTCCTTTGGCTGCCAAGGTCTGAGCGATGAAAATCTGGAGCAGAACAACCGGCCAAAGACTACAGCCGAAACTGATAGATGACCCAGCAGGTCCAGGCAGATCAAGCGCGAAGCGTGCTCACAATGAGGACCCGTAGCCGTAGCAGGGGTATGGACGCCAAGACCCGAAGCTCGCAACAGAAAGGCTTGAGTGCAAATAGGTTGGCCGGTAACACCCAACGAGATCAGGGAGAGGACGCTCGCGCCAAAATCCAGGGCAAGTGACTCCCTTGCTTGCATGCATGGGTCCTTCGTATACAATCTCAAGGAGTCTCGGACCACCTCAAGCCAGAACTCCAAACACATCATACTTACATCCCACTATACGAGCATAACTAAGTTTCAACAACAAAGACATAAAAGCCGAAAGGATCGGAATACTCCTGCATCCGAGCACTGGTAAGTGAAGTACCCACAACGGATATGCAAGCAATCGCAGCAATACCAAAGGCAGTATGGGTGCGACACTAATCGCACAACTGCAGCCCGTAAGCCCGGAAAAGAAGCTGAAAGAGGCTCCGTTTCCGGGAGCCCCGACATCGATGGCTTCCTGCACCTTGATCATGCCATCGCCCTTCGCCTGTGTCTCGGGTTCCTATACATGGCTCCTTTAAATTCCGACTAAGGATGCCTTCAAGCGTTGGGGGTTCCTCTGCATGGCTCCTTTAAGGGTCCGATGAAGGATGCCTTCAAGGGTTGTTTATTCGGGCTTCTGTAAGCCAAGTGCTAAGTAAGGTCTTCGCGGCTTGGTTCAGGGTGTGGTTTTCTGGAGGCTCCATGTTTGGAGTACGTAGATGTATGTTGTGATATCGAAGAGAAAGGGATGTTCAAAATACTCTTGCTCCTTCTGCAGGCCCTTATCGGGTTGGCTTAGTCGCCAAACGCCCGTCCGCGAGAAAAGAACGGTTTAAGGGTACCACTGGGCGACCTAGGCTACAGTAGACCCTGGACCAGCAACATAAGAGTCCCAAACGGACAGACACGGCTTCATCGCAGCAAGGCCGCCTGCAAACCCAGAGTGATCATCGCCTGCCGGGGCCACACGGAGGAAGATTGGACCGTGATCTCATCTCCTAGGTTAGCAAGTAGTAGACCCCCTCGAAGTCCAGATATCCTAGTTTGCTCAAGTCACTCCAAACATGAATACACAGTCGGTCTTTTCCAACCCGACGAACATCTGACAACCCCAAACCATCAAGCCGTACGACCTAAAACCTAAGCCTTGCACGCAATAGCCAGCATCGAAAGAGTTCCAAAGCACCCATTCTTCCAGTTGCCATGTGCCCGACGCTGAGAGGGGAAGTACGCACTTCAGTTCAGACAGGCGCAGTTACTTTTAAGTTACTTCAGGCCCTGGCTTCCAAAGGCCCCCCCGGAACCCTAAACCTGACCTTACCAACATTCGGCTTCTTCGAGCTGTGGATGGGCGCCTGATTTCCGAGTCGCTTGCCAGTGGCAGAAAGCACCTGCGAGGCTTTAGAGCACCAGAGCTTCAGCTTCCGGGTGGCTTTGGGGTTGAGGCTTGAGCTCAGAGTTCAGGTTTCAAGGTTGTAGAGGGTGTTGAGTGTTGAGGTCGAATGGTGGCTGTACCAATTTCATGTTCCGTTCTAGATCCTTGGAAGACTGCTAATGGGTTATAGGTGTTGAAAGGTTCGGGCATCAGGCTATGAGAGAGCACCACCCGGTTCTATCTTCGATGGGTGGCTCAAGGTCTACAAGGCCCTGAAACCGAGAGGCCTCGGCCGCCCTCGCTTGGCGCTGATCCACAGCCTTGAGCTGAAGGAAAGACCTTGGCGCTGGATTTGTTGCTTCATGGCTTCTGGGGGTTCCTTTGTGGGTTCAGGGGTTGGGGATGTTGAAGATTTCGGGATTTGAGGCTTGGGCTTTGAAGTGGCTTGAAGTGGCCTTGGGGTTTGAGTGCTTGCCGCTCCTGCCCATTTCGCTCTTACTTGAGATGTAAACGCTCTCAGTCGGGTTCGGGTCTTAAGGTTTGGGGTGATTTAATCACACAGGTCAAGTAAGGACTTAGGAACAGGGATTCCTGCTCTCCCAGCCGTAACCTGGAAGCCTCAATGTTTTTTGGTGTGATATTGTGGTGATATGCGGACAAGTCCTACGGATTGGTATTCACTGTGGTCCAGGCCGGTTTTTGGGGCTTAAGCGTCTCCAACTAAACCCCAAATCTTGGAGCCCCAAACTCATCCCAAACTCCAAGAACCGGGCGCTGCAGTGGAGAGGAGCGACTTCGCCTCATCCCCTTGCAAGGCCTGCGCTCAAGCCACCCGGCTTTCGGCTGCATAACAATGAGGGTCACAAAACGGGGATGCCGATGTCTATCCGAAGCCCGACCCTGAACTCTCCAAGCCTTTGAGACAACAGCCAAAACGCTCTAAGCCACCCCTCCTAATATAGGATGTCCTCCAATTTCTGCTAGAAACCTCGGTCAGGCCCTTTTATGTCCTGGTCTGTCAGAAATCACAAAATGTCCAAACCAACAACTGCGATGCGGGCCGATGCCTGACTCTGGGCTGGGCGGGTTCTAGACTCTTCGTGATTTTGTTTGGGGTTTGTGGGCTGCAGAAGGGATTTATCCGCATTGGAACGGAAGTCTACCGCTGCCGCTTACACACTACAGCCACTCACCGAGACAACTTGAAGGTCGCCATCTACATTGGCAATCAGCGCCTCTGGCATTTAGAGCCGGGTTATCCTGAAACTCGTGCACCATTCATCAACTTGCACTAGCTGGAAGTCCCCTTTCAATCTAACATACCCGAAAACCAAAGGCCCGAACACGCACACAACACCTTAACTCTCACATGCAACGTAAACGTCAGACTCTACCCATAGACCCTGAGCTCTGTATCTGAACCGTTCAAACTCTGACAAGGCTCCTTTACAGCTTTGGTCACGGCCGAGAGCTCCTGCCAGCCACTTCGGTGTCAGGTTTTTGGGTTGATCGGAGTCGGAGGCTTTGTTGAGTTTTGGAGTGTCAGTGTCAGACGTAAAGCCCGAGAGTGTTAGGCTAGAAGCTTGGTGTAGGCGGACGGCTCCTGAGCTTAGGCTTCAAGGGCTGATAATTTCAGAGCTCTACGTCCTTACGTTGCAGGGCCCTTGCTACGGGAGCCCTAACTAAGGCAACCGGAATATTGCCAGGACCCCCCAGGCTCAAGCGAGCGGTGCACAACAAACGTCCAGGACAGCGGTTGTCACGGCACACGCAAGTCAAAGATCTAACCGAGTCGCAGCAGCAGCTCCAATCCCGACCGCAGAAAAAATGTAGTCGACGAACGACTGGGAAATCTGTGTGCAAGTGTCAAAAGCTGAGATGGAGTGCACGAGGAGATCAGCTGTATCTTACGAGCATGCTCAACTTGCAGCCGATCGGGTTTCCCTTCGAAGCCTTGGCATCGCACTTCGGGCCAACTCACCCTGCCGGTGTGCCACCACTCTGTTGCAACATGGGTGCTCTGCCCCAATTCCGTTTGCCCCGTTGTCCTGTTTCCCGACCAAAGCTCTGCGTGCTGTAGGGTCACCAACTGCGAGCGTCGCACGTGCGGAAAGGTTGACGCTGCTACCACCAGCACCAGCACGACCACGACTACCACAAACTATCACTACAGCTACAGCTGCTGCAGCTACTACTACCTACCACTGCTACCACTGCTACCACTGCTACCAGTGCTACCACTGCTACTGCTACTACTGCTACTACTGCTACTACTGCTACTACTGCTACTACTGCTACTACTGCTACTACTGCTACTACTGCTACTACTGCTACTGCTGCTACTGCTGCTACTGCTGCTACTGCTACTACTGCTACTGCTGCTACTGCTGCTACTGCTGCTACTGCTACTACTGCTACTGCTGCTACTGCTGCTACTGCTGCTACTGCTACTACTGCTACTGCTGCTACTGCTGCTACTGCTGCTACTGCTACTACTGCTACTGCTGCTACTGCTGCTACTGCTGCTTGCTACTGCCACTTGCTACTGCTGCTCAAGGCCTACAGGATGGATGCTCATCACGGAGCGTTCCAGAATTGAGGAATGTTCCTTAACAGCTACAGTAGGGATCCTAAACGAGAACAGAGCCTGCAAGTAGAAATAGGAAGTTCCAGAACAAGAATTAAGATCCTCAGAATACGGGCCCCTAAATGAGGCACCCTTGATCCACTTTTGCATTTAATTCTCTTCGAAGTGCCGGGTACATCTGAAAGATCAAACCGAGAAAGTCGCACGAATCGTGGCACCATCATTGAATGCCAGAACATCCTCAGGACCCCCAACTTATGTACCCCCAAGTCAAGATCAAGAAGACGGCCATATGCGCCAGCTCGGAATTAGGGGCTGTTGTACGCATCCCGTTATTCGGGGACAATAGTAGAAGCCCCTGATGTTTTCAAGTTGCCCTAAGCGCTAAACTCAAGCTCCGAATGGACCGCAAACCTTCAAAAGTAAATCCTAACCCCGAAACGCCAAAACCCCCAAAACATTCGATGTCGGCACCGAAACTAACAATTGTAGTGTCTCTTGGAAGAATCCTCGGTACGCGTGGCGCTTCGCTGCTCGAACTCTGCCTCGACTTTGGGAAGTTTGGGGCTTAGAGAGTTTAGGGTTTAACGTCTATAGGGTACTATAGGGGCTTTATTGTTTCCTGTCAGGTCCTGTAACGGTGCTCCGGGGTGTAGGATTATGGGGTTGGGGTGAGGTCTTCGAGCCGTTTAGTCTATGGCCTTGGCATCTACAGGAACAACACCGTGTGAGAATCGGCTTGAGGAGCGCATGGCTGAGGCTCCAATCCAATGAAATCAAGGACCAAGCCAGAGTTATACCAGACCATACAGTAGGGACAAGGAACCTGAAGAGCTAAGAAAGCATTGGAGAACCATCATATGTTCGTGGATCAAACCACCAGTCGCCTCATAAAGAAGGGTGATCCCTATACCGTGTACACGAAACCTGGACACGGACCCGAATCGGCTCGGTTAAACAAGAAGCCGAAGCAACACCCCTCTGAAGACCTGATGAGGCCCACCCCTCTATCACTTTGGACAACCCGCTACAAACCATGTACAGTCCTGCCTTTGAGCTGGCGCACTTCTCTGTGACCGTTGCCAGCAGCTTCTCTGCTTCGGCCTGACAGCTGAGATTTGAGATCTTGAGGGTCAAAGCGGTGAATTTTTGAGGCTTAGGAATTTCGGGTCTGGAATTTTTAAGTCGGGCTCCAGGCATCGCAAGCCACAGCAAGCACCGCAGGGCTCAGTTGAGGCTTAGGACTTTACGGCTTCGGCACTCAAACTTCAGGTACCTCTTGCCGGAAGCTTTTCACTCCATACCCTATAAACCCCACATATCACCCCGCATAGCTGCAAAAAACTCCTGACTGCTTTGAGCCGCTGCATACTGAATGTTCAGGCACCTGTAACAAGGCGCCAAATTTGCTCTGCACTGCAGCAAGTGTCGGGCTACTATTTAAAGATCTCAGGTTTAGGAGGCAAGGTGAGGAGGTGCACGAATTACACGTTCGAGTGTGCAGAGTCAGAAAGCTGCGGCTTGTGGGACTTGCGCCTTCTCGACTA